ACAGGCCGGGCCATCGCAAGAGCGAATGCCCAGAGGAGCTAAGGCGTCGCGGAGCAGAGCAGGGGAGGGAGTCTCCAAAGCAGGGAAACGCCAGCAGTCAGTAGGAATCGGGCCAACTACTGACGAGACTGCCTGCTCGCCCAACCCCACCGACCCTCACCGAGTCACAGTACCGATTCATGCTATCGATCGGACTCGGACGAATAAGGAGGGTACAGCGACGGATTGCCCAGTACTGATCCACGGGAAAATACAGGGAGCAGCAGTGAAGATTTTTATCGACGGAGGAGCAAGCCACAGTTTAGTTAATACCGCAACCGCACGAAAACTGCAGCTGACACTTAGCCGTTGCTTACCGGGGATAGACGCACGCTTAGTCCACGGCACGCCACTGGCCATACGGGAAAAGGTAGAGAGAGTCAAAGTCCGCTGTGGGGGAAATTTCGGGTTTACACAGGAAATGCTCGCAACGACACTGGATGGGCACGATATTTTCCTCCCATTACGTAAAAACCGGGACTGACCGCATTTGGGTGCCTGGGTATACACTACTACGGGAATTACTGTTACAGGAGGCACATGACGGAGTTACCTCGGGGCATTTCGGAGTAGAAAAAACACGGCAGCAGCTGCAGCGGTATTATTACTGGCCCGAAATGTTGACCGACGTACAACGAGACGTGGCATCGTGTCCCACTTGTCAGCTCATGAAATTATCACGACAGCGGCCGGCAGGACAGTTGCAGCCGATACCACCCCCAGAGCGTGCTTGGCAGCAGGTGACGATGGACTTCGTCACGGGGTTACCAGTCGGGGCGAGTGGGCACGATGCGATCCTGGTCGTCGTCGATCGACTGACGAAAATGGCACATTTCGCAGCCTGCAAAAAATCAATCACAGCCGAAGAAACAACACGCCTCTTCATCTCCACCGTCGTTCGACTGCACGGGATACCAGCCGCGATCATCAGCGACCGCGACACGAAATTCACCAGCAACTTCTGGCGGAACCTGTGGCACCAGTTCGGCACGCGACTGCAGTTCAGTTCTTCATACCACCCCGAAACCGACGGACAGACAGAACGGACAAATCAGACCATGGAACAGCTCATCAGGGCCACGTGTGGCGACCCGACCACGTGGGAACAGCAACTGCCACTAATCGAATTCGCGTACAACAACTCGCCATCCGCCACGACCCAACAGTCACCATTTTACCTAAACTACGGACAAGACCCGATAGTACCCATGACCCCGAATCCCGACAACCCAGTACCACGAGCACAACAGTTCGCTGAAATATTACAAGCAGCACGGACCTGGGCAGTAGACGCAATAAAAAAATCGAACATCATCGCTAAACGCAACGCCGACCGCCACCGCAGACCTGTCACTTACCAGCCCGACGACTTAGTTTTACTTGACACTCAGAACCTCCGACTGCCCATCACCCCGAAACTCCGCCCCCGATACTACGGGCCATTTCGCATAAGCCACATGCTTACACCCGTCACCGCCCACCTCCTCCTCCCTGCTGACTGGTACGTCAGCCTCTCATTCCACGTCAGCCTACTTCGCCCTTACGTCCCGTCCACGAGCCAACTGCCACGCAATCGCCCTGCCAGCATGACAAGACCACCAACTGAACCAATCATCACCCCCGAGAAAATCCTGAGTCACAGAGTTCGCGACCCTCGAGGAGCCCGAAGGATCGAGTTCTTACTCCGCTGGAAGGACCGTACACCCACCGAAGACAATTGGGTTCCCCTGGACAGAATTGAAAACCACCCCGTCCTCACAGAGTACCTGCGCAGCCGAAATTTCAGGGATGTACACGCACTTTCGTAAGAGGACCTTCTTAGGGGGGAGGGGGTAGTGTAAGGAAAATTCCTTTTCCTTACTTCGCATCCCTGCTCAACGCGTAAATCACTGTAGCACCACAGTCAGCACCGTTACCACTCGCAACCCTCGCATCGACAATCCGCCCGCCACCTTCGCACATCGCACCCCGACCTCACGGCTCGGCGGGTAACCCGCGCTCCGGGCCTCCGCTTCGACACTTTTTCCCAACCTCAGTCCCAGGCCCGTCGCGCGACAACCACAGTCCATTACCGTTACCAGTGTAGTTTCGCTATATATTCTTCGCTCATGCCTTTGCTCATTGGACTCTTGCTTCGATAGTGCAATTCTCGTTCGTTCACTCAATTGCACTCGTAACATACAGCATGAGAACATTGCTCTCACGGTACATACCTCAGCTGATATCCACCTAACGTTAATCTGATGCATTAAGTGTGATACATTAATTTATGCCTAATAAAGACTTTGAAGAACTTCACGAGGATAAAATTACACATTAACATTAGTTTATAGGTGCGGAATTCTGTTGAAGTTAAATTTCATTTATAGAGGCTGACGATTAGTGCGAAATAATGTTCACTTAAACTGGAGCTTCTACCGAATATAGATCTCGTGGCTGTAGTGCACCCTCCAAGTCAGTCGCGTCTTCCAGAAGCACTTCAGCACAAGGGTTTTTGTTGGCGGCCGAATCGACGGCTACTACGATGTCAGATTTACATCATCGACGGTCCGATAAAAGAAAACATAGGTGTCTGCCAGACTTTGCTTCCCTCCCAAGATTCTTCCGTGCTTCGACTTTCAAGGGACCTCCAAAAAGGAGTCTTCCGAGACGAGACGATTCCTCGCTTTTCATCATCTGATCCCGAGGTCCCTCTCGCGTGCTTGTCTTTTCGTTCTTACAGCAGGTGTGAGCTGTGATTCCGCCTAGGGAATGCCTGAAACATACTCGCTTGCTTTCAAGCTTCAGTATCTGTATATTCTGTAGCTGATTCTTCCTCCCGACCAGGCGTCAGCTCGACTATTTTGTTGCCCGTGACCTTTTTCCCTTGCCTTGTTTCGGCTAGCGTTCTCACCTGCTTGTTGAGTTCGCGGCTGCGCTTGCTACTCGCTTGCGTTCCGATCAAATTTATAGTAAAGACATCGTATCGACATCTCGACGACATGGGTGGAGGCAACGGACAGAAGGCCAAGATGGCTCGCGAGAAGGCGCAGGCCAAGATGTCAGCTAACCGAGGTGCAGTAACTCATTTATTTCCTCGATAGTTTATTGATTTCTCATCGGTTTGTGACATAAAGGTGCCAACAGCTTTGTTATAACGAGGAAACTCTACAAAAGTCAGAAGATTCTTTCCCAGTTCTGTCTAGGTTCGCGTAAGCCCTATCGGGACATATCTCTCATAAAATGTCCTCTTTGATGATTCGATTAAAGTAGACTTAAATAAGAAGTCGTTATGTTTTTGTTTGTTTTTTAACCGTTGTATGTCGAACCTTCTGACACTTTCCTCCTACCCCCCCCCTACTCTCTTTTCCCTCCCCACCTCTCTCTCTCTCTCTCTCTCTCTCTCTCTCTCTCTCTCTCTCTCTCTCTCTCTCTCTCTCTCTCTCTCTCTCTCTCTCTCGCCCTTGCTCTCTCTCAATCTCACACACTCACTCGCTCTCTCACTCTCCCTCCCCCTTTCTCTCTCTCCCGTTTCTCTCCATTTCACTTCCCATAAACCTTTCGGCTTCCGTGTTTTACAGGCAGCCAGCTTGAGGTGAACCAGAAGGCTATGAACATTCAGGTGAGATGCTTTCTGGTTGTTAGCCATCTAACAATGTGATATTGTCCTTAGATTGAATAATTCACGCTGTCGTTTTCGTTTGGGTCGTGCAGGTTCTCACATCCGCTGACGTCAGCCGATAACGCGTGTAGTTAATTCTAGGCGCGTCTCAGTATTAATTTGAACCGAGTACATCAGGCTCATGTCATCCTGCTTTGCTTATCTTCTCTTCCTTCCTCGGCATCATGCAGTGCAAGGTATGCATGCAAACGTTCATCTGCTCAAAAGCCACCTTGTGTTATCCTGCTTTCTCTCTCTCTCTCCCTCTTTTCTCCGTCGCTGCAGTGCAAAGTGTGCATGCAAACGTTCATCTGCACGACAAACGAGGCCAAGTGCAGAGAACACGCAGACGCACGGCACCCCAAGCACGACTTCTATGTGTGCTTTCCCCATCTCAAGCAGTGATCGCACTCCAAGGTACATGCTCTAGGGTTTGGATAATCTGGAAGGCGAGGTAGAAGTGAGTCAGGCTGCGGCTTATATGCGGAGAGGGGCGGGTGGTGGGATGTGGGGGGAAGTGGGGGTTGGGTGGGGAGGGGGGAGGGGGGATGGGTTTGAGTGTGTCCGCATGACCTCTGTTGACAGAGGTTAGAGGAATGTGAATGAGTGGTAAGCCATTGTGATAGTAGAGGTATTGAAACCTGGATGGGCGTATGATACTTATAAGGGGCGATGGAGAGGATGGAGAAGACAGGGAGAATGTAAAGACATTGGATCTTGCATACCATATGAGTGTAGGTGTGCACATTCCAAGTTTAGGGTTACGGCTCCCAGAAGCACATGCTTTTTCCTAGTGCTATCTCATCCGCCGCTCATCTGTGTGATTGTTCATGCTTTTCCTTTCAAGTGATCAATAATATAGATTTGCGGTATGTAGTTCTTGAGGTGTCTCAGCTTGCCCCCCCCCCCGTTGCTCACTTCTGCCCACCTGGTGTGTTGTGCAGGCATGGCTATTATGCAGGGAACAGGCTCAGGCTCTTCAAAAGCAGTTATACACCTGGCAAAAAAAAAAAAAAAAAAAAAAAGTCCAGCCGTAGCTTCATTTTCTTTGGAAATTGGTATTGGTTTTGGAGAACAATATTGTCTCTTTTGTCTTAAGTAGGTTGTCTGTTTCTTCCTTATGCTAGCTGTTTCTGGTGCAGTACTTTCTGGTTACAGCCAACACTGACTGCTGCATTGGTAGTGAATAGGCAGTACTATTTCACGTACATTTCAAATGCACTCATTAACCAATTTGGGCATGATCCAGGGGCAAGGATTAGTTGTGCTTCTGGAGAATGCAACAGCAACTAAATGTGTGTTTTCAATTGGACAAATCACCTCATGTCCAGGCCTCATTCAGAGCCACGTGTCCCGAGTACAGCCTCCCATTGGTCGATCTCAGCTCGTCGATCAGACGGTTCCAATTCGACGCGAGCGCGCCGACGAAATAATCCGCTTGCGTCGTGATGATGAGATTCGCGAAAATCTCCCCCGTGCGCTGCTTGTCCTTCACATGCTCCTCCTGCATCTGCGTTGCACTCGTCACCCGCCCACTCGTCGTGTAGTGGAAGGTCCAATCCGGAAAGTTGGAAGTTTCCTCAATCACGCTCTGCGAAGAAAGACGCCACAATGCATTCAGGAGAAATGAGGAGGGGTGTGAGAAAAGGAGGGGGAGACTAGGAGCCAGAGGAGGAGGAAGGGGAGAGGGGGGAGGCGGGGAAGGGGGATGGGGAAGAGTGGAAGTGGGGGGGACATGCCATATTTCATCTACCTCGTACAAACACTCAACTGCGTGCAGAAATGTACAATGTACCCCTTATCAGCAGACCCACAAGCTCACCTGCATCTCTGTGCTGAGCCACACGTGCTCCAGGTTCGGCACGTGCGCCCGCAGCTTATACATAAAGTACATATAAGTCGCGAAGAAGTGTAGCTTCATCTCGAGGTATTTATCGCTCAGCCGCACGTGCAGGCTGACGTACGGCCGGAATATAAACGGTTCGTCTTGTAACGAGGAAAACTCCACCGCCGCACCTCCCCCAGCATTCGCGCTCCCCGCTCCCGCACACGCCTCGGATTCATTACACCGCGTTCCCACACACCCCGCGAACCCCTTCATCTGCCATACAGTCCCGGCTAGGCTCGACTTGTATGCGACAGAAGGCGGAACAGCAGAAGAGGCGTCAGGGAGAGAGTTCAAGTGCTGGGATTCCGGAGTGTTGGGGGGTGTGGAGTGGAGAATGGTCTGTTGCTTGGCTGTAGCGGATATGACCCGCTCTGCTACAGCCATCCCGTAGGTGTTGTGTCGCACGCGGTTGGTGATGTGGCAGAGCAGGGCAGAGGGCCAGCGGAGGAGAAAGCGTGCGGTTTGGGAGCGCCACCAACGCTCCTGTTTGATGGGAAGGGGGAAAGGGGAGTGGGGAGAGAGAAACAGGGAGCACAAAGTTGGTGGTGTGGCAGCGGAGAGCAGAGGGCCAGCGCATGAGGAACCGAGCGGTTTGGGACCGCCACCAACGCTCCTGATTGAGGGGGGGAGGAGAGGAGGAAGGGGGGAAAAGGTCAAATGCGGTTGGTGATGTGGCAGAGCAGGGCGGAGAGCCAGCGCAAAAGGAATTAAGGTACTGCTGCTCATCCCAACCTGCTGCTCACCCGAACGTGGTTATCATACATTCATAGAGCAGCCAGATTCTCCCCAGCTGCTCGATCGTGAAAGGATGTTCCCTGGCGGTGGCACCATGCCATGCCATCTCATAGACACTCCAGCATGTGCTCTTCACCCCTTTGAACCCCTCTGCTTCTCACCCCCCTGCTGCTGCTCACCCCAATGTGGTTGTCATTGGGCAGCCATATCTTCCCCCAGCTGCTCGCTCGTGAACGGATGCTCATTGCAAGTGGCACCATCCCCTATGTGGCCACGCACTGCTTACCCAACACGCTGCTCACCCCAACCTTCTGCTCACCCCAATGTGGTTGTCGTTGGGCACCCAGATTCTCCCCAGCTGCTCGATGGTGAATGGATGCTCCAGCTCGGGCGGTCTGCCGTCAGGAGCCACCCAGAGGCTGCACGAGTGAGGGGAGTGATCCGAAGGGGTCAGTCAGCAAAGAGAAAAAAAAGGGCGCCGCAGAGGGAAGAGAGGATGTTCAGAAGATCAGGATTTGCAGCAGGAAGGAAGAAGATGCTCGATCGTCAAAGGCCGCTCCAGCTCTGACAATCTGCTGTTCTTCCTTCTTGAAAGGGCGGGGACAGGAGCCACTTAGAGGTTGAAAGGGTGGAGGAGTGACCCAGAGGGAACAGCAAAGAAAAAAAGGGTGTGGTAGAGGGAAGAGAGGATGTTCAGAGGAGCAGGATGCGCAGCAGGAAAGAAGAAGATGATCCGGCGGTGTCCTGTAAGGAGCAACCCGGAGGCTGCATTGCAATGAGACGTCTCAAAACAAGGCTGCATTGCAAGACACGTGAAAGAAGGAGTGCATTGCAAGACACGTGAAAGAAGGAGTGCATTGCAAGACACGTGAAAGAAGGAGTGCATTGCAAGACACGTGAAAGAAGGAGTGCATTGCAAGACACGTGAAAGAAGGAGTGCATTGCAAGACACGTGAAAGAAGGAGTGCATTGCAAGACACGTGAAAGAAGGAGTGCATTGCAAGACACGTGAAAGAAGGAGTGCATTGCGAGACACGTGAAAGAAGGAGTGCATTGCAAGACACGTGAAAGAAGGAGTGCATTGCAAGACACGTGAAAGAAGGAGTGCATTGCAAGACACGTGAAAGAAGGAGTGCATTGCAAGACACGTGAAAGAAGGAGTGCATTGCAAGACACGTGAAAGAAGGAGTGCATTGCAAGACACGTGAAAGAAGGAGTGCATTGCAAGACACGTGAAAGAAGGAGTGCATTGCGAGACACGTGAAAGAAGGAGTGCATTGCAAGACACGTGAAAGAAGGAGTGCATTGCAAGACACGTGAAAGAAGGAGTGCATTGCAAGACACGTGAAAGAAGGAGTGCATTGCAAGACACGTGAAAGAAGGAGTGCATTGCAAGACACGTGAAAGAAGGAGTGCATTGCAAGACACGTGAAAGAAGGAGTGCATTGCAAGACACGTGAAAGAAGGAGTGCATTGCAAGACACGTGAAAGAAGGAGTGTTTTGCAAGACACGTGAAAGAAGGAGTGCATTGCAAGACACGTGAAAGAAGGAGTGCATTGCAAGACACGTGAAAGAAGGAGTGCATTGCAAGACACGTGAAAGAAGGAGTGCATTGCAAGACACGTGAAAGAAGGAGTGCATTGCAAGACACGTGAAAGAAGGAGTGCATTGCAAGACACGTGAAAGAAGGAGTGCATTGCAAGACACGTGAAAGAAGGAGTGCATTGCAAGACACGTGAAAGAAGGAGTGCATTGCAAGACACGTGAAAGAAGGAGTGCATTGCAAGACACGTGAAAGAAGGAGTGCATTGCAAGACACGTGAAAGAAGGAGTGCATTGCAAGACACGTGAAAGAAGGAGTGCATTGCAAGACACGTGAAAGAAGGAGTGCATTGCAAGACACGTGAAAGAAGGAGTGCATTGCAAGACACGTGAAAGAAGGAGTGCATTGCGAGACACGTGAAAGAAGGAGTGCATTGCAAGACACGTGAAAGAAGGAGTGCATTGCAAGACACGTGAAAGAAGGAGTGCATTGCAAGACACGTGAAAGAAGGAGTGCATTGCAAGACACGTGAAAGAAGGAGTGCATTGCGAGACACGTGAAAGAAGGAGTGCATTGCAAGACACGTGAAAGAAGGAGTGCATTGCAAGACACGTGAAAGAAGGAGTGCATTGCAAGACACGTGAAAGAAGGAGTGCATTGCAAGACACGTGAAAGAAGGAGTGCATTGCAAGACACGTGAAAGAAGGAGTGCATTGCGAGACACGTGAAAGAAGGAGTGCATTGCAAGACACGTGAAAGAAGGAGTGCATTGCAAGACACGTGAAAGAAGGAGTGCATTGCAAGACACGTGAAAGAAGGAGTGCATTGCAAGACACGTGAAAGAAGGAGTGCATTGCAAGACACGTGAAAGAAGGAGTGCATTGCAAGACACGTGAAAGAAGGAGTGCATTGCAAGACACGTGAAAGAAGGAGTGCATTGCGAGACACGTGAAAGAAGGAGTGCATTGCAAGACACGTGAAAGAAGGAGTGCATTGCAAGACACGTGAAAGAAGGAGTGCATTGCAAGACACGTGAAAGAAGGAGTGCATTGCAAGACACGTGAAAGAAGGAGTGCATTGCAAGACACGTGAAAGAAGGAGTGCATTGCAAGACACGTGAAAGAAGGAGTGCATTGCAAGACACGTGAAAGAAGGAGTGCATTGCAAGACACGTGAAAGAAGGAGTGCATTGCAAGACACGTGAAAGAAGGAGTGCATTGCAAGACACGTGAAAGAAGGAGTGCATTGCAAGACACGTGAAAGAAGGAGTGCATTGCAAGACACGTGAAAGAAGGAGTGCATTGCAAGACACGTGAAAGAAGGAGTGCATTGCAAGACACGTGAAAGAAGGAGTGCATTGCGAGACACGTGAAAGAAGGAGTGCATTGCAAGACACGTGAAAGAAGGAGTGCATTGCAAGACACGTGAAAGAAGGAGTGCATTGCAAGACACGTGAAAGAAGGAGTGCATTGCAAGACACGTGAAAGAAGGAGTGCATTGCGAGACACGTGAAAGAAGGAGTGCATTGCAAGACACGTGAAAGAAGGAGTGCATTGCAAGACACGTGAAAGAAGGAGTGCATTGCAAGACACGTGAAAGAAGGAGTGCATTGCAAGACACGTGAAAGAAGGAGTGCATTGCAAGACACGTGAAAGAAGGAGTGCATTGCGAGACACGTGAAAGAAGGAGTGCATTGCAAGACACGTGAAAGAAGGAGTGCATTGCAAGACACGTGAAAGAAGGAGTGCATTGCAAGACACGTGAAAGAAGGAGTGCATTGCAAGACACGTGAAAGAAGGAGTGCATTGCAAGACACGTGAAAGAAGGAGTGCATTGCAAGACACGTGAAAGAAGGAGTGCATTGCAAGACACGTGAAAGAAGGAGTGCATTGCGAGACACGTGAAAGAAGGAGTGCATTGCAAGACACGTGAAAGAAGGAGTGCATTGCAAGACACGTGAAAGAAGGAGTGCATTGCAAGACACGTGAAAGAAGGAGTGCATTGCAAGACACGTGAAAGAAGGAGTGCATTGCAAGACACGTGAAAGAAGGAGTGCATTGCAAGACACGTGAAAGAAGGAGTGCATTGCAAGACACGTGAAAGAAGGAGTGCATTGCAAGACACGTGAAAGAAGGAGTGTTTTGCAAGACACGTGAAAGAAGGAGTGCATTGCAAGACACGTGAAAGAAGGAGTGCATTGCAAGACACGTGAAAGAAGGAGTGCATTGCAAGACACGTGAAAGAAGGAGTGCATTGCAAGACACGTGAAAGAAGGAGTGCATTGCAAGACACGTGAAAGAAGGAGTGCATTGCAAGACACGTGAAAGAAGGAGTGCATTGCAAGACACGTGAAAGAAGGAGTGCATTGCAAGACACGTGAAAGAAGGAGTGCATTGCAAGACACGTGAAAGAAGGAGTGCATTGCAAGACACGTGAAAGAAGGAGTGCATTGCAAGACACGTGAAAGAAGGAGTGCATTGCAAGACACGTGAAAGAAGGAGTGCATTGCAAGACACGTGAAAGAAGGAGTGCATTGCAAGACACGTGAAAGAAGGAGTGCATTGCAAGACACGTGAAAGAAGGAGTGCATTGCAAGACACGTGAAAGAAGGAGTGTTTTGAGACGTCTCAAAGCAACCCGGAGGCTGCATTGCAATGAGACGTCTCAAAACACTCCTTCTTTCCGGTAAGGAGCAACCCGGAGGCTGCATTGCAATGAGACGTCTCAAAACACTCCTTCTTTCCGGTAAGGAGCAACCCGGAGGCTGCATTGCTTTGAGACGTCTCAAAACACTCCTTCTTTCCGGTAAGGAGCAACCCGGAGGCTGCATTGCTTTGAGACGTCTCAAAACAAGGCTGCATTGCAAGAATGTAGAAAGGTCAGGGAGGAGAACGAGAGAGGGGAAACACACCCACCTGGCAGCTCTAGCGGCGTCGTGGTGGTAGTGAGTGTCATTACAGATCATCACTTGAGCAGCCGATGCCAGCACCATTACAGCACCATCACAGTACCAGCACAGCATAGCCTTATAGCCTGGCAGCACTAACAGGCAGCACCCACCTGGCAGCTCTTGCAGCGTCGTGGTGGTAGTGGGTGTCGTTGCAAATGACCACTTGAGCAGCCGACGCCAGCACCGTTTCCTTGGTATCGTTGAACAGAGCGATAGGTGCTGTTGCTTCTGCTGCAAGAGCGACTTTGAGGCAGTCTGGGGAGGCGACGGGGAAGAAGTAACACTCCCACTCGCCCTCCTGCCCGATGTCTGGGGGATGGGGATAGGGCGGGCACATGGGTGGGCAATAAGACAGGCAAGAGAGGAGAGAGGGCGCGACCTTGAGGCAGTCTGGGTAGGCCACGGGGAAGAAGTAACACTCCCACTCGCCCTCCTGCCCGATGTCTGGGGGATGGGGATAGGGCGGGCACATGGGTGGGCAATAAGACAGGCAAGAGAGGAGAGAGGGCGCGACCTTGAGGCAGTCTGGGTAGGCCACGGGGAAGAAGTAACACTCCCACTCGCCCTCCTGCCCGATGTCTGTGGTGTGGAAATAGGGAGGGTCGGGGAGAGACAGAGGGCGGAGGGGAGGGGATTGTGGTGAGGAGAGCGATCAGTGCTGCAGCTGCTTCTGCTGCTAACGCGACCTTGAGGCAGTCTGGGGAGGCGACAGGGAAGAAGTAACACTCCCACTCGCCCTCCTGCCCTATGTCTGGGAGTAGATGTGTGTTGATGGGGATAGGCGGGTAAGGGGGGGAGGAGACAGGGGATAGGAGACTGTGGGGTAAGGGAAGAGAGCGATGGGTGTTACTGCTGTGAGGGCTGCTAAGGCGACCTTGAGGCAGTCTGGGGAGGCGACAGGGAAGAAGTAACACTCCCACTCGCCCTCCTGCCTGATGTCTGGGGGATGGGGATAGAGAGGGTCAGGGGGGGATTGAGGACAAGGGATTGTGGTGAAGAGAGCGAGTGGCGCTGCTGCTTCACCTGCACACTCCTGCCCACTGGCGCGGTGGAAGCAGTGGGTGTGGGGGTGGATGATGCAGCACTCTCCACCTTACCCTACCCCGCACCCTTACCCCCTCGCCACTTCACCTGCACACTCCTGCCCACTGGCGCGGTGGAAGCAGTGGGTGTGGGGGTGGATGATGCAGCACTCTCCACCTTACCCTACCCCGCACCCTTACCCCCTCGCCACTTCACCTGCACACTCCTGCCCACTGGCGCGGTGGAAGCAGTGGGTGTGGGGGTGGATGATGCAGCACTCTCCACCTTACCCTACCCCGCACCCTTACCCCCTCGCCACTTCACCTGCACACTCCTGCCCACTGGCGCGGTGGAAGCAGTGGGTGTGGGGGTGGATGATGCAGCACTCTCCACCTTACCCTACCCCGCACCCTTACCCCCTCGCCACTTCACCTGCACACTCCTGCCCACTGGCGCGGTGGAAGCAGTGGGTGTGGGGGTGGATGATGCAGCACTCTCCACCTTACCCTACCCCGCACCCTTACCCCCTCGCCACTTCACCTGCACACTCCTGCCCACTGGCGCGGTGGAAGCAGTGGGGGTGGACGACGAGTGTGCCGTTGTGTTAATTCCCTTGTACCTACTTGTACCTCTCCTCACCCCACCACACCTCACCAGTGCATTTCTGCCCACTGGCGCAGTGGAAGGTGCGAGGGCGGATGACGAGCGTCCTTTTGCGCTGCACAGCACAGCACAGCCATTCCCTTCCTTATACTCCCCACCTGTCCTGTACCCATCCACCCCACATTCCCCCCCACTGGCGCAGTGGAAGGTGCGAGGGCGGATGACGAGCGTCCTTTTGCGCTGCACAGCACAGCACAGCCATTCCCTTCCTTATACTCCCCACCGGTCCTGTACACATCCACCCCACATTCCCCCCCACTAGCGCAGTGGAAGGTGCGAGGGCGGATGACGAGCGTCCTTTTGCGCTGCACAGCACAGCACAGCCATTCCCTTCCTTATACTCCCCACCTGTCCTGTACCCATCCACCCCACATTCCCCCCCACTAGCGCAGTGGAAGGTGCGAGGGCGGATGACGAGCGTCCTTTTGCGCTGCACAGCACAGCACAGCTATTCCCTTCCTTATACTCCCCACCTGTCCTGTACCCATCCACCCCACATTCCCCCCCACTAGCGCTGTCCAAGTACCGACCGACCCTGACCCATCACATGCACCATGCTGCCCGTCCCGTGGTGCTTCAGGGTCGGTCGGTACTTGGACAGTTCTTTAGAGGGTGTTTGGTGTGCTAATTCCCTTCCTAAAACACTCTCTCTCCCTTCTTTCCCCCACCTCACCTGCACACTCCTGCCTGCCTGCTGGAGCGGTGGAAGGTGCGAGGACGGATGACAAGAGTTCGATTGTGCCGCACAGCGGCGTTCAGAAACGACCCCATCACATGCACCATGTTGCCGGTGCCGTGGTGGGTGGGATATGAGTGCTTGGGGGAACACACCTGCGCACTCCTGCCCGCTAGCACGGTGGAAGGTGTGGGGGCGGACAACGAGCGTCCTGTTGTGCCGCACGGCGGCGTTCAGAAACGACCCCATCACATGCACCATGTTGCTGGTGCTGTGGTGCTTGATGGGGGGTGAGTGCTTGGGGGAACACACCTGCGCACTCCTGCCCGCTAGCACTGTGGAAGGTGCGGGGGCGGATGACAAGAGTCCGATTGTGCCGCACGGCGGCGTTCAGAAACGACCCCATCACATGCACCATGTTGCCGGTGCTGTGGTGGGTGGGATATGAGTGCTCGGGGGGTGAGTGCTTGGGGGAACACACCTGCGCACTCCTGCCCGCTAGCGCGGTGAAAGGTGCGGGGGCGGATGACGAGCGTCCTGTTGTGCCGCACGGCGGCGTTCAGAAACGACCCCATCACATGCACCATGTTGCTGGTGCTGTGGTGCTTGATGGGGGGTGAGTGCTTGGGGGAACACACCTGCGCACTCCTGCCCGCTAGCACGGTGGAAGGTGCGGGGGCGGATGACAAGAGTCCGATTGTGCCGCACGGCGGCGTTCAGAAACGACCCCATCACATGCACCATGTTGCCGGTGCCATGGTGCTTGGGGGGCCAGTCGGTTATCATTAGCCGCCGCCCGGCACAGCTGGCGGGGAACTGCCGCTCCCACAGGTCCCGCTGGAAGACACGTGTCAGCGCGAGATTCGCCGCGTCAGAACCGCGGATCTGGGTTTTCCGGGAAGGGGGTAGGGGAATGAGGAAACGGGGGTTGGATGGGGACACGTGAGGGTGGAAATAGGGGAAATAGGTCGTGAGTAGGGTGAAGGGGGATGGGATGGGATGGGATGGGATGGTGGTGGGAGAAATGAATTTAAAGTGTGGATGCTAGAGTGGTCTCACAAGCTCTGAATCTCCAAAAGCAATTCTATTTTTGGAAGTAAAGAAAGGAGGAATGAAAAAGTCTGGGAGAAAAAAGAGAGGGAAAGGAGGAACAATCTCTCGCCCGCGGTGGTTGTGGCGTGCGCTGCGCATTTGCAGCACTTGCCTAATAGCACAGCACGCACCCGCGGTGGTTGTGGCGTGCGCTGCGCAGTTGCAGCACTTGCCTTGCCTAATAGCACAGCACCCACCCGGGGGTCCTTGCTGCTTGCACTGTGCACTGGGCTCGATCCTCCAGCAGTATGTGATACGTCGAGTTTTGAGTCGACTCGAAACTCGTGCGCAGTTGCAGCACTTGCCAAATAGCACAGCAGCACCCACTCAGGGTCCTCCCTTGCTGTTTGCACTGTGCACTGGGCTCGATCCTCCAGCAGTAACACAGCAGCACCGAAACACTCATCCAGGGGGGTTGGGGCGTGCAGTTGCAGCACCTGCCCGGTCGCACCCACTCAGGGGTCCTCCCCATGCGCCCCCCTCGCCTCTGCCTTCACCCTCAGGGCAGTCTTGGCCGTGCAGTCCTCTAGGTGGGGCGCTGGAGGGCAAGTTGTGACTATCCACTCACCAAACACTTACCAATCACTCACCAAGGGCGAGTCAATGCAACAAACACTCACCCAAGGGGGTTGGGGCGTGCAGTTGCAGCACCTGCCCGGTCGCACCCACTCAGGGTCCTCCCCATGCGCCCCCCTCGCCTCTGCCTTCACCCTCAGGGCAGTCTTGGCCGTGCAGTCCTCCAGGTGGGGCGCTGGAGGGACGTCCGGGGGGAAGGAGAGCGGCGAGGGGGAGCGAGTGGTGTCTTCTCCTAGGTTATACACCTTGGTCCAGGACTGTAGAGAGGTGGGAAGGGGTGGGGAGGGATGCGGACGGGTGGGGAGGGGTGGGGAGGGGTGGGGAAGAGTGGGAAGGGGTGAGGATGAAATATAAACCAGTATTGGCCGTGCAGCCCTCTAGGTGGGGTGCTGGAGGGACGTCCGGGGGGAAGGAGAGCGGCGAGGGGGAGCGAGTGGTGTCGTCTGCTAGGTTATACACCTTGGTCGATGACTGGCAGGGATGGAGACGGGTGGGAAGGGGTGGGGAGGCGCGAGGAGGGACGCGGAGGGGTGGGGAGGGGTGGGAGCGACATCTGGGCCCGGGGTCATCTGCCAGCCAGGCTATACGCCTTGGTCCACGCCTGCAGAACGGGTAACCTGCTTCACGGCCCCTCTATGCGCGTTGACTTTTGGGTCGACTCAAAAGTCAACATTATACGCCTTGGTCCACGCCTGTAGAGCGGGTAATCTACTTCACGGCCTCTCTATGCGCGTTTCTGACACCACTCCCCCATAAAATCGCCACCCCATCCCCCCGATCATCTTACTGTACCCCCCCAACTTCCCGCCTATCGTCCCTCCATCCCCCCGACCACCGACCCGCCATTTTCCCCGCACAAGACGCTACCTCGTGAATCCGCGTCGCAGCTTCCGCAAACTCTTTCGCAAGCTCTGGGCTGGACTGCAACCCCGCTCCCCGAGTTGACTTTTGAGTCGACTCAAAAGTCAACTCTTTCGCAAACTTCCGGGCTAGACTGCAACCCCGCTCCCCCAAACCATCTTTCCCACCAGCATAGGACCCTACCTCGTGTAAGCGCTTCGCAGCTTCCGCTAATTCCGGGCTGATCTGCGGCATGCCTTGTCCCGCGGGGATCACGGCGCCAAGCACGGTGAGCACCAAGAGCGGGACCAGAGCCCATCTGCTGCACCCCATCCGCGATACAGTTTGTCCCGGAAGGGACACTAGTTTTCGTGGAATTCCCTTTGGGTGACTCGAAATGCGCCGCGGGAACTAGTCGAAGGTCACTCCTGTGACACGCTTCAGAAGCGACAACTGAGTCACGGTTCTAGGCAGGCTACTGCTGCTCTAATTCCGCTAGCTTACGCGAAACTCGCAGATTTTGCATTATTCAGATGTCGTCTGGTGGTCATTCGGGATATCAACCAGACCTCGCTGCTCTGGGAAACCACTCTGGGAAACCGCTCTGGGGAACCAGGCAACAATGACCTGGTAGGAATGAGCTAAACGAATAAGAGACACGATGTCGCGAAGGTGTGTTGAACACTGCAGGAGAGTTTGAGGCTGTGACCGGGAAACGCGGGCGTGTACGCGATATAAGACGACTTCGTCATTCGACCAACCCGGTGAGAGGAGATGGTTGGTTGGTTTGGTGGCGGAACCTCCCTAGGTTCGTGAAAGTCCCAAGGTGTTGGAAACTCGATAGGATGAGTTGCGTTTGCAACGAATACGGTCAGGGTCGAAGGAAAGTACAGTAAACAATATTTCAGAAAGCCCCCAGCGTCAGCGATTTGTAGCACCGAACCCAGCTGCAGTGCGAGCCTCGGTCAGATTCTGGCACTTACGTTTCGCCGAACAAAACTTCCGCTTGTTGGTGCAATTTCAGCTAAAAGGTTGAGTCGAGTTTCAGCATATATGAACAGCAACCACACTGCACACGCCCTCAAACCTTTGCCATCAGAAACCTTGAGGAGCTTGCTGTCAAACTCGAGGGAACTCGCCTGAAATCTCCAGGCACGGCTCGAACCCGACCAGGGAGTTTCTCGGATCGGACTACGGATTGCGGTGAACACAAATACGCCACCTTTCGTTTCCGGCCTACGTGTGCTCGTGCTTACTAGGGCTGATATCGCATTCCAATCCCCAGAAGCTTGTCGTGGTTTCGCATCAGCTTCTGACGACGATTCCCAAATTGCGACAATGAGTACAACCGTGAGGATGCATGCTTCGCTGTCCTCGCGTACACTCTATCCCCGATACAAACCACACGACACCCTCAAGGCATCCAACCTTTCGTCCCTTCAAACTCGAACCCTTTTCGCAAACATTTCACGAAAAACGTCCCTCCGCCTCCACCTCCTGTCCCCTTCCCCCGCGCTCGTCACCGCACAAGCGGGGAGAGGCTTCGGAAAGAAGCCGGCGGCCGGCAGTAAGACCAAGCCGGCCGGCAGCAGCAAACTGCTGGATGAGCTTGGCGCCGCCGGAGCGTCAGGAATTGCGCCTGCGGGAAAAGCGGCGGGGGCGGGGGCGGAGGCGGCGGAAGCGGCGGTGTGTCCGTGCGGGGGCGGGGGGGAGGGTGAGAAGTGCGCATACAAGGAGTGCTGCGCGCGGTACCATGGAGGGGTGAAGGAACCAGACGCCGTGTCTCTCATGAGTGAGTACACCACTGAAATGGTGGTTACCAGAACTTTCGTGTAACATGGTAACCATCGCGGTACCATGGCGGGATGAAGGAACCAGACGCTGTTTCCCTAATGAGTGAGTTGTAACTGGTGTGCGTAACATTGTGGTACCATGGGGTACCATGGGATTATTATGGGGTAACCATAGTGGTACCATGGGGTAACCATGTGGTAACCATTGTGGTACCATGGGGTAACCATTGTGTTACCATGGGGTAACCATTGTGTTACCATGGGGTAACCATACCATGGGATAACCATGGGGTAACCATTGTGGTACCATGGGGTGAGGGGGAGAAGCGCGTATACGATAAATGCTGCGTGCGGTACCATGGGGGTGTGAAGTAACCAGACGCTGTTTCCCTCATAAGTGAGTTCACTGAAATGGTGGTAGCCAATTTCTCTGTGTATGACATGGTAACCATCGTGGTACCATGGGGGGGTGAACACACTGAAATGGTGGTAACCAGAATCCTTGTGCGTAACATGGTAACCATCGCAATACCATGGGGGGTTGAAGGAACCAGATGCTGTGTCTCTCATGAGTAAGCTTGAAAGTTAGACCTTCACATAGCATTCAGAACACGGTTTCTATTCTCATGCTTGAAAGTTAGTGTGTAACATGGTAACCATGTGAAAATGCGGTTACGATTGCGGTTCCATGGGGGGTGAAGGAAGCATACGCTGTTTCCCTCATAAGTGGGTTATTTTTCTCGCATTGCGCATTCAGGGAAGTGGAGAGGCGAGAGGGGCTAGCCTTAAACCCTGAACCTCTGTGGATGTGTGTAATCCCCTTCTATCTCTCTCCAGAGGCGCGTTATTCAGCCTTTGCCAAGGCTGTGATTCCCTACATCGTGCGCACAACTGACGAGGACAACCCCAACATGGGATGGCATGGCACCGGGGGGAGCGGAGGGCCGCAACGCAACAGACCTGCCGTGATCCCGTACATGCCTGCCCTCCTTTTCCCCCCCTCCAGAGGCACGCTATTCAGCCTTCGCCAGGGGTGTGATTCCCTACATCGTGCACACAACACATGGGGATAACCCCAACATGACTACCACCCTGGGGAGCAGAGGGGCGCAACACACACCACCCCTCAGCCGTGATCCGTCACTGGCCCTTTCAAAGGCATTATCAAGGGGAAAAAAAAAAAATCCATCCCTATCTCTCTCTGCAACCCCCCTTCCTCCCTTTTCCAGAGGCACGCTATTCAGCTTTCGCCAGGGGTGTGATTCCCTACATCGTGCGCACAACACACGAGGAGAACCCCAACATGACACCCGGCGGAGCAGAGGGGCGCAAGAAGCTGACTGCTGATTGCGAGGAGACGTGCAAGCGGCTGGTCTTCAAACGCCTCGAGATTCTTTCCACTGAGGAAGGGGAAAACGATGATGTGAGTGGTTTGGAGTGGTGTGTAGTGGTGGTGAAATTGGCAGTGTACTGGTACCAGTGCCAGTGGACTTGTAACAGGGTGCATGTTGGAACTGTGCAAGTGGTTGGCTGGTGTTCACCACGATCCCGCTTCCCTCCTCATTTCCCCCCTTCACAGGAGTCTTTCGTCTCGTTCCGAGCAGTCTACGCCTACAAGCATGGCACGACCACCGACAACCAGATCCTAGTCGAAAAATCCTGCTTTGTGCGTGACCCAGAATCTGGCCGGTGGCTGTACCGCGAGAAGATTCCCCTGGATGCGGCGTCAGAGGCAGCGTGGAGGCTGGGTCCCGCTTTGGTAGAGCAGGAGCAGCAGGCGGGGGGGAGGAAGTCGTATGTCATGCGAGGGGCAGCACAGCCAAAGCTACGGCCCAGGTCCAGTTAGTAGAGGGCTTGTTGTATCAGAAGGCTACGTTACGGTACTATCATCTCTATTGGAGTTGGTCGTGCAAATGTGGTCGCCAGTGCTGAGTCCCATGGCCTTGTGTGCAAGCAGTGCAAGATTTAGATTCAAAACAAATGATGTAGTCACCCTCTCTAGTCAGACTATCACCTCGCAAGCGCATCTCTTTTGAGAGAGTTTTTCGGCGAAAGACTTTAAAGCTATATACATTAAAAGATTCCTCAATGACATCCTGCTATAGCTCAGTTGGTAGAGCGGAGGACTGTAGTAAAGCAATCCTTAGGTCACTGGTTCGAATCCGGTTGGCGGGACAGTTTTGCCTCTGCTGAAAGTACTGGCGCTGGAAGTTTTCTGTGTTCAATAATATGGTACTTCTTCCAGCAAGACACAACACGGCTGACTGGCTAGGGGTAGCTTGCTATATGGGGCAGTGCACCATTCATGGCTTTAGGTGTCTGCTGCAACTTCAGCTGTCACTGCTGTGCTGATCTGAGCTGAACTGAGCCAAACTGACTGAACCTACTGTAGGTGGTGAATTGTTCAGCTCTTCACACTTCATTCAGTTTCTCTTCCTCACTCAATTAACAAAAAAACAAATACAGCTACTGCCAGCTTCAGAAACCAGCTAGTGTTGTTGTAAGAATGCAGAATACCGAAATGCATTTTTTGCGATAAAAAACACCCATGTGTAACGTACCGTAACAAACGGCGGTACCGGTACTGAGGATGGGGCGCCTCAAAAGGAACTCGAGAGGTGAGGTGACCAGTTCCTTGCAAAGTTGATGGTGCGTGCTGCATGCATCGGGCATGCTGCATCCACTGGGCATACTGCATGCATGAGATCTCCATTCAATTCCATGTTATGTTACTGAATGATATCTTGTTTTGTTGCAGTAAAGACTGGCATGTGGCATGTAACCATAACAAGAGCACCACCAGGCTCTTAAAATCTCTACCCAGGCTCTTGATTCCATGTACCGTAGCTAGTTACCGCCCGACAGGTGGCTTCAAAAGAGCAGTACCGGCCTAGTGGTATCGCTAGAACCTTCTCAATGAGAAGCGAGGAGGCAGCAAAGCCAGACTTCAATTCTGGCAGTCAAGAAGGACTGCCCGGCAGCCATCAGTACCGGCCTAGTGGTATCGCTCTAGAACCTTCTCAATGAGGAGTGAGAAGGCAGCGAAGCCGGCACACCCCATGCATGCTGCTTGCGGGCCCGCTGCAGGGAAAGGCAGTGAGAACGGGGTACAAGGGGGCCGAGAAGGGAGAAGGAGAAGAACATGAGTTTCCTGGCATGCCTTATGGAACAGGAAAGGCAGTGATGCGAGCACACACCCCATGCATGCTGCTTCTGGTCCCTCTGCAGTCAATGAGGGGCTTGGGGGTGAGGATGGGGAAGAGGGGAGAAAGGAGATGGAGAGTTAGTGTTGCGGCACCTGCTGAAAGACAGGACAGTCAAGGGGTGGGGTGGTGTGGGATGCGGTGTGGTGTGGTGGGATGCGGTGTGGTGTGGTGAGATGCGATTATCTGGCTGACATCACACCTCTAGCGGACAGCGCTCCTCCCGTGACACAGCCGGCGATGACTGTGGTCACCTTTTGAGGCGCCTTTTGAGACGACTTTTGAGGCGCCTTTTGAGACGACTTTTGAGGCGCCTTTTGAGACGACTTTTGAGGCGCCTTTTGAGACGACTTTTGAGGCGCCTTTTGAGACGACTTTTGAGGCGCCTTTTGAGACGACTTTTGAGGCGCCTAAAAAGTCCTTTTGAGACTACAGTCTCAACAGCCAGCGATGACTGTAGTCACCTCATCGTGCCCCTCGCCCTCGCCTTCTCAGCCATGCACTCTGATGCTGAGAACACCCTTCTCACAGCACACACGCCGTACCCCCCCCCCCCTACAACAACAACCCACCTCGCCCTCGCCTTCTCTGCCATGCACTCCGATGCCACGAGTGTCGCTCCCATCGCTGACAGTGGCGGCCTTGCATGGCTGGAATTGCATTCACCCACCTCTGGCTGTCAGTGCTTCTCCAGTGCCGCAGCCAGCAATGACCGTGTTGGCCTCATCATGCCTCGCCCTCGCTTTCTCTGCCATGCACTCTGATGGCCCATGCACTCTGATGGCCCATGCACTCTGATGGCCCATGCACTCTGATGGCCCATGCACTCTGATGGCCCATGCACTCTGATGGCCCATGCACTCTGATGGAGCCCTATCCTTTCCAGTGCTCAGACGCACACTCAGACGCACCTCTAACCTACACACTCACCTCTGGCTGTGAGTGATCCTCCCGTGACACAGCCAGGAATGACGGTGTTGACCTCATCGTGCCTCGCCCTCGCCTTCTCCGCCATGCACTCTGACGCTGAAAAGATTGCCAGCAGCACTGCAAAAGGCGGCCTTGCATAGCTGGAATTGCGTTCACTCACCTCTGCCTGAGAGTGCTTTTGAGTCGACTCACTCAAAAGCTTTGCATAGCTGGAATTGCATTCACTCACCTCTGCCTGAGAGTGCTCCCCCAGTCACACAGCCCGCAACGACCGTGTTGACCCCATCGTGCCTCGCCTTCACCTTCTCCACCATGCACTCTGACGCCGAGAAGATCGCCCCCATCACTGCCAGTGCTCAGACTCACCTCCAAACTACACACACACACACCTCTGGCTGAGAGTGCTCCCCCAGTGACACAGCCAGCTATGACTGTATTCACTTCATCATGCCTCGCCCTCGCCTTCTCTGCCATGCACTCCGATGCCGAGAAGATCGCCCCCATGACGGCAAAGGTCTTGCCCGTGTGCCAACTGCGCTGCGCCATCTGCCTGGCGTGGAAAGGAGCAGAGAGGAGGAGCAGAGCAGACACAGGAGGGTAATTTGAGTATACAGGTCTTCCTCGCCCTCTCTTCTGAGAATATCACTCCCATCACGGCAAAGGTCTTGCCCGTGTGCCAACTGCGCTGCGCCATCTGCCTGGCATGGAAAGGAGCAGAGAGGAGGAGCAGAGCAGACACAGGAGGGTAATTTGAGTATACAGGTCTTCCTCGCCCTCTCTTCTGAGAATATCACTCCCATCACGGCAAAGGTCTTGCCCGCGTGCCAGCTGCACTGCGCCATCTGCCTGCAGAGAAGGGGACACACACAAGCACACGATGGCAGGGGGAGGCAGTACAGGAGGCAAAGGTGACGATCACCATGCACTCTGACGCCGAGAAAATGGCTCCCATTGCAGCAAAGATGGAAGGTTGGGTGCTGGGTGGGGAACCAGAGAAGAAAAGCATCATCCCCATGACTGCAAAGGTCTTGCCCGTGTGCCAGCTGCGCTGCGCCATCTACCTGGAGTGGGAGAATGGGAGCAGGGGAGAGACTACAACAGAGACAAGGAAGGCGGTGTGAACACACGAGAGTTGATTGCATGAGCCCTATTCCTGCCCGTGTCCCAACTGCGTGAGCCATGTACCTGAATGAAGATGTTGGAAAATGGGGAGGTGGAACGAGCAGAGAGGAGGTGGAACGAGCAGAGAGGAGGTGGAACGAGCAGAGAGGAGGAGGTGTAGACACAGGAGGGTCAAAAGTGGCACAGGCAGTATGAACAGTGGTTTATTATTCGCCACTGAACACACGATAATGAACACAGGGCTACGTAAACCGAACATCCACACTTACTTAAACTTATGCACCAGCTGCCGCCCTGTGCTGGTGCATGTGTGCGTGTGTCCTCCACACGTCCAGGGGGGGGTGAATGCCCATGTCAAGGCAGCACCGCACCAATGCACACATGTGAATGCACCCACTTGAAGCCATGCACCAGCTGCTGCCGCGTGCTCATCGCCTCCACATGCAGAGCAGGGGCTGGTGCATGCACATGTCAAGACGGCACCACATTAACACGCAGACTACCACTGTTCGCTGCAATGATGAGTGCACCACATGCATGGCCTGGCTTCCGAATGCACTCACTTGAACCCATGCACCAGCTGCTGCCGCGTGCTCATCTCCTCCACATGCAAGGGCTGGTGAAGGCCCATGTCAAGGCAGCACCGCACCAATGCACACATGTGAATGCACTGCACCATGGCACGTCACTCACTTGAACCCATGCACCAGCTGCTGCCGCGTGCTCATCTCCTCCACATGCAACGGCTGGTCCAACGCGCCGAACAGCAGACCCATCATCACCCCCATGCCTCCGCCTGCAATGAAAAGGAGTGAGGGTTCACGGAGCAGTATGTGAGGGGAACAGCGGAAAGAGTTTGTCAACAGTGCATCATGGTTACGAGGCATTAGTTAAGAACCTAACTCAAGTAAGACTTCGCTTCTCCAAGCATATTGGTGCGACTTCTCAAAAGTCGCTTTTCCAAGCACAGAACAGCAGACCCATCATCACCCCCATGCCGCCCACCTGGAGTGGGGAGGAGGACAAGAATTAGGGTGCAAGGAGCAACACGATTGAGGGGGAGGGGAGGAGCAGGAGCAAGGGAGAAAATGTGGGCAGCAACATGACTGAGTGTTCCATCAACCGTGAGTCACCGTTAATGCCGCAGAAAACGGTTCGCACGCCGCAGAGGTTCATCATCATCTCCTCAGCCGCGATCTCATCTCCTCCGGTGTGATGTGGTGTGGTGTGGTGTGGGCAGCCCTGCTGACTGAACGGCGTCACTGAATGGTGCTCGGTTGTGACATTATTGAATGTGACTATGCTGCTGCAATAACACTCACCCATCACGCCGCTAATAACGGTTCGTACGCCGCAATGATTCATCATCTCCTGAGCCGCCATCTCCTCCGGTGTGGGCATCTTATACGGCGCTTTGGCGGCTTGCGCGTTCCCTGCGTGCGGCTCCGCCGGCGCGCCTCCACTCGCCTCTGGCGGCGTGGCGACAGCTGCGGTGAGACCGTCGGATTGAGAAGACTGAGAGGATGACATAGCGATCCGACCGTTGATTTGATCGTGTTTGAGGAGCTGCAGAGCCGTTTATTAGGCCACTTCTGGGTAGACTCAGAAGCCGTCTGGACTAGCTAATGCCGTAAAGTGGGCGGGCAAAGCGTGTGAACGAGGGAATGCTGAAAGCACTGGTCAATCTGATTGGCAGGAAGGGGACGACCGGCTAACGGCCGTTTAAATCAGATGCTACAAGCAGGAGCCGTCGATCGCATCGCGTGGCGTCGCGTCGCGCGGATGCACTGAATCAGGTTACGAGGACACGGGTTTGCGGATCAGGACTGAAAGCTGAAGAGCGCACGGGTTTGCGGATCAGGACTGAAAGGTGAAGTGCGCAAATGCTTCAGAATCTGGCTTGTTCGGACTGATCCCGCGGATTCGGGCAGATTCGAGCAGATTCGAGCAGATTCGGGCAGATTCGGGCAGATTCCGGCAGAAACAGTTCGGGCTGGATAACGGGGAGGTCGTGCAGATCAGGACTATTGACTTTTGGAATAACTAACTCCGAATTACCTCTTACGATCGAGGTTCTGAGCCTGCGAATCCGCGGAACGGATCGAGGCGTAGACGGCGGTTGTGCGGATCTGAAGGAGAGTGGTCGCGATTCGCGAGAGTAGAGGCACAGTTGGTTGCGTGCGGCGCAGATGGAGGGCGGAGGCGGTTTTGTGAGAGGTTTGACCCGAGTGCGTTCCGCAAGGGGGGAAGAGATGGCGCGGAGCGACGCGGGGCGACGCAGGGCGGCGCGGAAGACGCGGAATGGCGCGGAGCGACGTGGAATGACAGGAAATCAGTGGTGGTGAGCGCACGAGGCAGGACAAGAAGTCCTCACGAGGCGAGTGGGTAAGCAGAAATCGATATAAGCAGCGAGCTTGATATGAGTCTCGTACAGTGTAACATTGTATCCAAGGTTTTAAACTTTCGCCTTCTGCGCTGTAGCGCGTACGCGAAGACCAATAACTTCTCAGCCCTGAAACTTTGTCAGAATGCGTTTTGGTTTGCAGTTCTCTGTAAATCTGAGCCGTCGATGAAGTTCATGATCAAGTTAGCGCACCACATCCCAAGCCTAGAGATTCCCAACAAACTACCCCTAGAAATCCCAACGTACAGTGCCTTGAGAATCCCGAAACCTTTCAGACCCCAGACCAGAAAGCAATAACACGCAATCATGCCCGACCAGGCCAGACGCTCCAATCCCCCTGACCATTGTAAAGCCTCTCCCCTCTCCCGTCTCCCCTCCTTACACCCTCTTTCCCTAGATTCACACAGGTAGAGACATATCAACCGCAGGCAGGCAACCTCCTTCCCGCATAACTTTCCGAAAAGCGAAGCTGTCGAGTAATTAGAGTTACACCAAAGAGTTTGCAGCACGCAGCAGTTTTTCCGTTGGGAGTTTCTAGGTTTTGTCAGGGCTTGCTGGATTGGCAAGTAGAGTTTCACGAACAAACTTCGATCTTTGACCATAACACTTTCACTCGGTGTTTCGCCGAGAAATCGAAGGCCTGCGTATTGTGTCTTTCGTTTTCGTAAAACCCAGGGGGGAGAAGCCGGCAATTAGAAGGTGTACGTTTCGTGATCTGAAGCCCGCTCTCGTGTCCGAATCGACTGCCGGTGAAGGGTTTGAACAGCACACAGTCAGACAAGAAGAGATGGAAAGGCCGGAAGGGGAAGCGAGAGAGGAGATGAGAGAGGGAGTGAGCGAGGAGGGGAGGACGGGAGCGAAGGAGGGAGAGAGGGGGGATGAGGAGGAGGAATGGCAGCAGGCGACAAGGCCACGGCCGCGATCTGGAATGCAGCAGCAGCGCGGAGGGGGAGGAAGAAGGGGAGGACGAGGAGGAAGAGGGGAGGGAGGAAGAGGAGGGAGAGGCGGATGGGGGGAAAGAGGGAAGGGGGAAGGAGGTAGGGGAGGAAGAGGCGGATGGGGGGAAAGAGGAAGGGGGGAAAGAGGGAGGGGGGAAGGAGGACGAGGCTTTGGTGGGAGAGGAGAAGGGCAACGGGGTTTGCAACAGGGGCACTGGCAACAACAACAACAACAACAGCAGCAACAACAATATCAGGAACAGCAAAAGCAGCAGCCGCAACAACAACCACAACAACAACAGCCACAGAAGCAGCAGCAGCAGGCACAGCAGCAACAGCCGGCACAAGCACAGCAAGGTGCCCCTCCCTCCGCTTGGAATCGCCACGTGTGGGGCCGACCTGCTGAGCAAGCAGTGCCAGCCGCGCAGCAACAGGCGACAACCACGCAGAAAGATGCGACAGTCGCACAGCAACAGGCGACAGCAGCAGCGCAGCAACAGACGACAGCAGCAGCGCAGCAACAGGCGACAGCAGCAGCGCAGCAACAGACGACAGCAGCAGCGCAGCAACAGGCGACAGCAGCAACGAAGCAACAGGAAGCAACAGAACCAGAGGCATCAGCGCAACAGCAACAGCAGCCACAGCAAGCCCCCCCTCCCTCCGCTTGGAATCGCCACGTGTGGGGTCGACCTGCTGAGCAAGCAGTGCCAGCAGCGCAGCAACAAGCGACAGTCGCAGGGCAGCAGGCGACAGTCGCAGAGCAACAAGCGACAGTCGCAGGGCAGCAGGCGACAGCCACGCAGCAAGACGCTGGGCAGCAGCATGCGACAGCACTGACGCTACCAGAGGTACCGGCGGCACAAGCACCGGCAGCGGCGCACGCACAGGCTGAAGCGCAGGCACAACAGCCAGCGACGCACGCGCGACAGCCAGCGACGCACGCACAACAGGCAGCAGCGCAAGCACAGGTAGAAGCACAAGCAGAAGCACAAGTGCAAGTAGCAGGTGATGAAGTGCAGGCAGGGGTATCAGCGCATCCACATACTGCTTCTCTTTCTGCGTCCGCTGCTATCCCTCCTGCGTCAAGTCCGACCCCTCCTGCTGCCTGTGCTGCCCCAACTACCTCTGCTTCCCCTCCTCCCTCACAACCCCTCAACACCCCACCCCAACACACCCCACCCCAACACACCCCACCCCAACACACCCCACCCCAACACACCCCTCCCCAACACACCCCACCCCAACACACCCCTCCCCAACACACCCCTCCCCAACACACCCCACCCCAACACACCCCTCCCCAACACACCCCTCCCCAACACACCCCACCCCAACACACCCCTCCCAAGCACACCCCTCCGAAGTCCTGGGCTGCTCTACTTGCGTCAAAATCGACACCACAGCAGCAACAGCAACAGCAACAGCAGCAAGGGAAATTGCAGCAGCAGCAGCAGCAGGAACAATATGTACCGTCACCAGCAGCAGCACCTTGCGTGCTGTTGCCAGGCGTTGATGGGGACAATGTCACGGCTATATCAGCTGCTGGTATCGCCAATGCTGCCCCTATGCCTGCTGCCACTGCTGCTGCGGAGCAACCAACAACCGCAGCAGCAGCAGCAGCAGCAGCAGCAGCAGAGGGAGCAATGCAAGCATCGCCAGCAGCAGCAGCTGTACCAGCAGCAGCACCAGGAGCAGAAGCAGCACCAACAACAGACTCGCAACCGCCGCCACCAGCACCAGCATCAGTAGTCCCACCACCAGCTACTGCAGCAGCGCCAGCAACACCACCACAAATACCACCTGCAGCAACAGCAGCACCAGCATCAGCAGCATCACCAGCAGCAGTCCCGGTGCTGTTGGGTTCCCGGCCTCTAGTGGGGCGAGCAGCAGTGCCCATTGCTCCCAGGGGTCTTGTCAACAGAGGCAACCTCTGTTTCCTCAACTCCACGCTTCAGGTACTGCCCCTCGTTCCACCCTTTCAGTTCTTATTGTCATACACAGGTCTTTCAATTTCTTCCCCTCCTCGACCTCTTTTTTTTTTTTAGTCATCACCGTGATTCATTTTTCCTCCCATTCCTTGTTCACTCAACTTTCCATAATTCTCGCATAACTCTCTCTGTTGTGCAGGCACTGGCTGGTTGCCCTGCGTTCGCCCATCTCTTGCGAGACATCTCAGCGTCGCTTGCACCACATCTCCTGGTACGTGTATGAGAGAGATGGAGGAGGGGGGTAGGGCTGTAGGGGCAACGGGAAAGTGTGCGCAAGAGGGACTGAGGACTGTCAGCTGAGGACTGTTGGCTGAGGAGCCACGTGTATTGTGGTTATCTTCTGACGTCTCAAAAATAACCTCATTGCTGAGGACTGCCGGCTGAGGACTGCCGGCTGACGACTGCCGGCTGCGCTTCGCTGTCCTCTCGTATTCTCTCATTTCTTGAGAGCCGTCTCAGCATCTCATGGCCCATTCATTAACCCTCTTCCCAATTCAATAACTCGCCCATTCCCAAGCCCGCCGACTTTTGATTCGACTCAAAAATCAGCTCAGCATCTCGTGGCCCATTCATTTACGCTCTTCCCAATTCAGTAACTCGCCCCTTCCCAGGCACGTCACCGCACGCTGTAAGCACTGGCTGACTTCTGGAGGGAGTTTGGGCCTTGAGGGAGTTTGGGCCTTGAGGGAGTTTGGGCCTTGAGGCGCCCTGCCCATCGATTCGTCTGCTTCTTTTTGTCTGTCCGAAGTTCTGCTCCCGCTGCTGCCCTTCTCTCTCCGTTTCCCAGGCCTGCCATCCTACGCTGAAAGCACTTACTGACTTCTGGAAGGAGTTTGAAGTGCCTATCACGTCATCATCTAGGCCCACAACCCCACGCACGCTCTTATCCCCCCTCTCTACCCCGCTCCCTCCCACTGCTAGGCCTGCCATCCTGCGCTGAAAGCACTTACTGACTTTTGGAAGGAGTTTGAAGTGCCCATCAAGTCGTCATCTGCAGGTCCTGTAGCAACCGGAGCAGCAGAGAGGTTTGCAGGGGCGGCTGTAGCAGGAGCAGCGGCTGTAGCTGGTTCTGCTGCCGCTGCTGGTGCTGTTGGGGAGGATGGGGCGTGGGGGAAGGTTGGGGGGAAGGGCGGAGGAAGAGGAAAAGGGGGAAGAGGGGCGGGTGGAGCAGGAGTGGGGGGAATGGGGGCAGGGGCAGCGGGAGGGAGAGGGGCGGGGAGAGGGATAGCTGGTTCTCCTGCCACTGCTGCTGCGCCTGTTCCTGCTGGTGCTGCTGCTGCTGGTGTTGCTGGCAGCACACGAGGTGTATCAATTGCGTCTGCACTGACAGCAACGGCCGCATCAGCAACAGCAGCAGCGGCTGCAGCAGCCGGGGGTGAGGAGGGGTTGACAGCGGTGGCAGTGGGGCGAGCAGTGGTGCCGACTATGTTTGAAGGGCTGCTGTCACTGTTCAACCCCCAGCACCACAGGAACGGAGTGCACCTGAGGTGGGTGTATGGGCAGGGTGCGGGCTCTGAGGGGGACAAGGAAGGGGTATTGTTCAGTGCAGTGGGGTGAGCAGTGGTGCCGTCCTTGATTGATTTGAAGGGCGCTGTTCGAACCCCCAGCACCACAGAAACGGGGTGCACTGGAGGTGGAGTTTTGCATAAGTGTGGGGAAAGGGGCTGGGGAAGAGTGGAAGGGCTATTATCAGTCAGGTGCAGTGGGGTGAACAGTGGTGCTGTCCATGTTTGAAGGTCGTCTGTCCTGTGTTTTTTTTTCCTCGTTTGCTCTGCTTGAGCAACGTTAGGTTAGTCAGTTGACTCAAAAGCGCTCTGCTTGAGCAAGAGGAGGCTCAGGAGTCTCCAACCTTCCTGACCTGACCTACCGTTTGCCCCTCTTTTTTCCCCCCTTCTCTTGTATCGTTTTTATGTTGTTATTTGACAAAAAAAAAAAAAAAAAAAAAAAAAAAAATCAGGCAAGAGGACGCCCAGGAGTTTCTCACCTTTCTGACCGACCGCCTGCACGAGGAGCTCATTAAAGTCACATCTCAGCTTAGTCACAGCAGCACGAGGCTGGGAGGGGGAGCAGGAACAGGGGCAGGTGGAGGAGGGGTAGAGGGAGAGGGAGAAGGTGGGGAGGAAGGGGACCCAGAGGAGTGGCAGACGGTGGGGCCGAAGCAGCGGGCGGCAGTGACAAGGACCCACGCGGTGCAGTCATCCTGTCTGAGCGAGATATTTGGCGGGCAACTGCGGAGCGAAGTGCGGTCAGCAGGTGAGTCTGCATTGGGGGTTGTGTTTTCATCTGAGAAGTGAAGGGGGGATGGAGGCAGGCAGGCCGTAATGAGAAATACACGCAACAGAGAGGGGGGAGAGGAAGGGGACCCGGAGGAGTGGCAGACGGTGGGGCCGAAGCAGCGGGCGGCAGTGACGAGGACCCATGCGGTGCAGTCATCCTGTCTGAGCGAGATATTCGGTGGTCAGCTGAGGAGTGAAGTGCGGTTGGCAGGTGAGCCTGTGAGGATAGTGTGTATGTGCGTCGTTTGAGTCATCTCAAAAGTCGTCTCAAATGTTGTCTCGAAAGTCGTCTGTGAGGATAGTGTGTATGTGCGTGCGTCCCTTCCCTACTGCTGCAGGTGGACATGCAGCAAGTAAGTCACATCAAATCCCATTGTACATCATCCGATATCAACTTTCATCATGCTTGCCCCTCGCGCATTGAGGTGAATTTTTAAACACCTCAAAATCGAGGTGACTTTTTAGGTGCATTGAAAATCACCACATTGTGCAGAGATGACTTTTGAGTCGACTCAAAAGTCACCTCTCACCTCATTGTACAGCATCCGATATCAACTTTCATGATGCTTGCCCCTCCTCCACCCCATACACACTGCAGGCAGCAAGCCATCAGCCACGGTGCAGCCCTTCTCGCTGCTACAGCTGGACATAGCATCGGATCGGATCAGATCGGTGGAGGAGGCGCTCAAAGCCTTTGCTGCACCAGAGGTGGTGGAAGGGTATCGACCCAGCAATGCCAAGGTAGGTGCGAGGAGGGAATGTGTGTGTGTGTGAGGGAGAGGGGGTCTGTGTATGAGTGGGGGGAATGGGGTGTGTGTGTGTGTAGTGTAAGGGAGTGGATGTGTGTGTTTTTGAGGAAGGGTGGTCAGTCTTGATGCCTTCCAAGCGAGTGAAGGTCTCAGTAGTCTATACTCACTCCCTCACGTGTGATTCTCCTTCACATGAAGGAGAACCACATGAAGGAGAACCACATGAAGGAGAACCACATGAAGGAGAACCACATGAAGGAGAACCACATGAAGGAGAACCACATGAAGGAGAACCACATGAAGGAGAACCACATGAAGGAGAACCACATGAAGGAGAACCACATGAAGGAGAACCACATGAAGGAGAACCACATGAAGGAGAACCACATGAAGGAGAACCACATGAAGGAGAACCACATGAAGGAGAACCACATGAAGGAGAACCACATGAAGGAGAACCACATGAAGGAGAACCACATGAAGGAGAACCACATGAAGGAGAACCACATGAAGGAGAACCACATGAAGGAGAATCACATGAAGGAGTGCTGCTGCTCCTCCTGTGATTCTCCTTCACCCTCCCCTATTCCTTCTCCTTCCCCTTTTTGCACCTTCATCAACAGCCCAACCAGACAGTGCTGGCATCCAAGACGGTAAAGATCTCCGCCCTCCCCCACGTGCTGGTGCTGCACCTCATGCGATTCTCCTTCAGCCACTCCACTGCTGGCAGCGTCAAGATCCACAAGCCCGTCTCCTTCCCCCTCTCCCTCACTCTCTCACGCGACCTCCTCTTCTCCTCCTCTCCCTCCGCCGAGGTATGCTTTCTCTTCTTACTCTGTCCTGCCCTCCACGCCTTTATACTCTTCCTACCCCTGTCAAGATCCACAAGCCTGTCTCCTTCCCTCTCTCCCTCACTCTCTCACGGGACCTCCTCTTTTCCTCCTCTCCCTCCGTCGAGGTAAGCACACTCACCCTCTCTCTCTCGGGCATAATTTCGTCACCCTGCGTCACAATTTCTACCTAATCCATTCGCAAACTTCTCTTCCAGTCGTCTTGCCTCACATTCGATGCACTCTTTCCTTCACCAGCCCTCTCCCACCCTCTCCATTCACCCTTACCCTCTCATGCCTCTGTCTCCTCTGTTAGTATCTTACTGCTCCGTTGCTCTATCCTCAGATTTTATCTTTTATCGCATCAGATCTCCCACACGCTTTCTGCGTCAGATCTGCTTCTTGCTCCCTTGCTCCATTGGTTTCACAACGTGCCTGAAACTCGCTCCTTCCTCTTTTGAGTCGACTCAAAAGTCACCTCGTCAGATCTGCTTCTTGCTCCCTTGCTCCATTGGTTTCACAACGTGCCTGAAACTCGCTCCTTCCTCTTTTGAGTCGACTCAAAAGTCACTTCGTCAGATCTGCTTCTTGCTCCCTTGCTCCATTGGTTTCACAACGTGCCTGAAACTCGCTCCTTCCTCTTTTGAGTCGACTCAAAAGTCACCTCGTCAGATCTGCTTCTTGCTCCCTTGCTCCATTGGTTTCACAACGTGCCTGAAACTCGCTCCTTCCTCTTTTGAGTCGACTCAAAAGTCACCTCGTCAGATCTGCTTCTTGCTCCCTTGCTCCATTGGTTTCACAACGTGCCTGAAACTCGCTCCTTCCTCTCCATTATCCGTTCCCTCGCATTGCCAGGAACGATCTCCCTCTTTGCTACTGTAGTGCACCTGGGGGGAGACCCTTCTTCGGGTTTTAAGGCGACTCAAAACTCTTTTACCTCCTTGCCCTTTCATTGCACCACCAGGAACAAAGATACTCCCTCTTTGCTACTGTAGTGCACCAGGGCAGAGACCCTTCTTCCTCAGGCCATTACACTGCCAATATTTGAGGCATCTCAAAAGTCGTCCCCTTCCCCTTCCCTATTGTATCACCAGGAACAAAGATACTCCCTCTTTGCCACTGTAGTGCACCAGGGCTGAGACCCTTCTTCCTTGGTTTCATACTTCACTTCAGACTTGCCCAAACCCATTTCTTCATCTTCCCTTTCCCCCCTCCTACCATATTTGATCACCAGGAACGGCGATACTCCCTTTTTGCCACTGTGGTGCACCAGGGAAGAGACCCTTCCTCCGGCCATTACACTGCCGATGTTCGCCAGCCGGACGGATCCTGGCTCAGATTCGACGACGCACGAGTTTTGTCTGTTTCTGCCAAGCGGGTGCTTCAGGAACAGGCGTATCTGCTGCTGTACCAGAGGGAAGGTGTAAGGCAGTGAGTGGAAAGTTCCTTTGCCTAGGGAACTTTAGTGGCGTGGGGGTCTTGTAACAAATGGGCGTATCAGCGCTACACTTACGGTATTTGAGAAATGCCAATTCGATCATCTCTTAGCTTAACGCATTGGGTAGTATTTTGCACGACCAATTTGCTTGTCAGTACGGTACAAAGGAGAGCATCACTTTTTAGTGAGGGCAAGAATGGTGCCACTAAAGAAGGTTCTCTTCCCTAGTGCACTAAAGAATCAATGCCCACATTGGGCAACTAAAATGGGAGAGCATTGTTATGTAGACTGGAAACTAGGGCGACACGAGGGATGAAGGAATGGGACGTGATAGGTACTTGGTCGAAATGCTTTCACTGGCTGAATGCTAGGGGTTTGCAGCTGGGAGGGAAATGGATCAGCGGAAAGGGAAAAAGTTACTGGGCTGGGCAGGGGAGTGAGATGGTGGTGGGACCGTCAGCCCCCGGATAGAAGTGCCCCTGGGGTTATAAAAAAACACTGTTTTTTAGGGGGTGCGCTTATAATTGAGGAATTTTATAAGCGCCGGCGCTTATAAAATGGCAAAAAGAATATATATTTGTTTTACACCAAACTGTATATCTCGTTCTGCCGATTGTAATCGAGTCGAAAACATATAGGGTCGCTAATCTGATTCTCGCGCAGCTTGGCAGGGAGTGATTCCCTGCCAGCTCACCCTGACAGAATTACAGCACATGCTGACTAAACGCGCAAAAAGTGAGTTCAGAGTGTGGGAAATCGAAATTGTAGTTCATTTCCCTGATTATGTGAAATTCGTTTCTGATATTTGAAAGGTTTTCAAATAAAAACCAAACATGCGCTTATAATATATCATCTTTTTCTAGGGGGTGCGCTTATAATCGAGGACCGGATATAAGCGCCCTCATCCTTTTATAAGCGCCGGCGCTTATCCTAGGCCTGCGCTTCTATCCGGGGGCTTACGGGTAAGTAATGCTCGAGTATGCTTTTGTTTTCCATTATGCTACGGTACCGTATTTGTGTTGCCTTAGTTCAAGCTTACAAAATTCAAGCCAAGGAATTAGCCTCAGGTATAGTAGTGATGCTTCCAACCAGATTGCACCTCTCTGATCTTTGCATTGCACCCTACCTTCAACATTGAGTATGATGCTTTGATTCTCATGTTCCGATTCTCATCCCAACGGTGACTTTGATGCATTGGGACTGGTCATGCAAAATATGGCACAATGTCTCAAGCAAAGCAATACCGTATCTGAATTTGTCCCAGCACCAGCACCATCACCCTCCCCTCCCCCCACTACCCCACTAACCCACTCCCGTGTACCGCCAACAGAACCCCCCTCTCCCCCCCCCCCGCCACTCCACTTGCCTACACCCCACTCCACTCTGAACCGTTACCCCCTAGAATACAGCGACTAACTTGGGTTAAAAGCACCTCTACTAAGCATCTCGTCACTTTCCTTCATCCCTCACACTGCCGGCGCCTAATTGCCTTGGAATTCGCCTCCTTAGGAGTTGGTAATTGACGAGCACAGGGGCGTTCAAGGCGGCGTCTTTAATGTCTACTTACCCTCAGCCACGCGCAGCTCGAAGTTGAATTTCGACGGGTACTGCATGACAAAATTAGAAGAAAGAAAGAGGGCTTGACTAGCAAGAATGGGGATACAAATAGCAAACCCTAACAGGGTTGTACTCGCTATAGAGCACCCCACTACAGGCTAGATAAGAACATTCTGACACACCCCCATAGCCAAAGTGGGGTGTAATCAGCAGAGCAAGCAAAGAAGTACAAGCTCAGGGTGGATCACAATGTCACCACACATTCTGAGCACAAGCTCAAGAAGCAATAGTTAAAGTGCACAATTATCAGCAAAGCTAGTGGTAGTCACAACGGGCAAGTGAGGAGGAGGAGGGAGAGTGAGAGGAGAGGAGATAGAAGGCGGCGGCTGAAGCTGCAGACACACGGGCAACAGGAGTGGCGAGCACAGTGGCTACCGGACTAAGCGCCCGGACTACAGGAGTAACTGGCTCTGCGGCTAAGACGAGCGGCAGGAGCTACGGACCCACAGGCGACTGGCGCAGCGACAAGCTCACTGGGCTACCGGGACAACGCCCCGGACTACAGGTGCTGCGGACAACAAGCTGGCAGCCTCCGCTCAACCTCCCGCAAACAGTCCCACCCCCCTGATACACACCCGCTGCTACACCCCTAGCTCCACTCCCACGCACCCCCCTTAAACCCTAAACCCCAGTTTCCCACACAACCACCCCCCTCAGCGACAGCTGCAGCAGTGGGAGACGAAGGAGGAGGAGGAGCAAAGGGAGGAATGCACACCGGTCACCCCCATACCCGCCACCCCACAGCGGCCCCCTCAGGTCGCCTCGACAGGCGACGGGAAAAGGGGGGGGGGGGAGGGGGGGGGGGGGGGGGGGGCGGGGCCGCGACGGGTAGGGCGACGGGCCGCGAAGGAAAGCGGCGGGGCCGCGATGATGGGGCGGCGGGGCCGCGATGATGGGGCGGCGTGTCAGAATGAGAAACGAGAATGAATGACTAGAATGAGGGTTGGGTACAAATAGGTCAAACCTAACCCTAGAAATGTGTACCCACTATAGGCTAACCCACTGTAGCCTAAACAAGCACAACATACAATGTTTGACACAACCCCATAGGCAAAGTGGGGGAGAACAATGGGTCACAAGACCAGTCAGAGCAAAGCAAAGCTCAGGGTGGATCTCAAGGATACCACACAAGTTCTGAGCACAAGCAAGCGGTCACAAGACCAGTTCACATGCAGATTTATAAAAGAACAAGAGATACAGTGATCACAACCTAGCAAGAGTAAGCATGCAGGTATATATATATGGAGATCACTGTACAAGCAAAGTCAAGAAGTGAGCAAATGAGGGACAGTAGGCACGAGGCCTAGAACAGTACAGAAGCGCTGATGGTCACAAGGCTAAAGCGCCTTGGTGAACACATCAGCAGTGTTGGCCCGAGTGGCCACGTAACGCAGACAAAGCTGACCTCGCTGCTGCAGCTCTCGAGCAAGAAAGTAGCGCAGAGCAATGTGCTTCGTCCTGTGCTCCAGTCTGTGCTCCCCACACAAGGCAATGGTGGCCTTGTTGTCGACGTACAGCACTGGAGGAGAACGAGGCTGCTCTCCAAGGTCAGTCAGCAGGTAGGTGAGCCAGCGAAGCTCCTGGGCAGCCATGGCCGTGGCGTAGATCTCAGCCTCACAGCTGGAGCTGAGAACAGAAGAAGAGCGAGTAGAACGCCAAGAGACAGAGCCAGAGCCAAGGCTGAAGGTGTAACCTTGGGACGACCGCTGAGTAGCCTGGTCGTCTGCCCAAGAAGCGTCTGAGTGCCCAGTGAGAACAGGCCGGTCTCGCCCTCCAAGCACTAGCCCCATGCCCGACGTACTGCACAAGTAGCGCAACACCCTCTTAGCTGCATCCATGTGCTCCTTCCGGTGACGGCCGAGAGCGACATAGCGTGTTAAGATGCTGAGAGGGTATGCAAGGTCAGGTCGAGTGCAGGTCATCAGGTACATGAGGCAGCCCACAAGCTCTGGATACGGACCACTCGGCTCTACGGACTCATCCGAAGGCAGAGCTGAGAGCGAGTGTCCCGTAGGCAGAGGAGTGGACTGAGGCGAGGAGTACGTGAAGCCGAAGCGCTGAAGGACCTGCTGCACCATGTGTGACTGAGTCAAGGTGATGGTGCGCCGTGCTCTGTCCCGGGTGATCCGCAAGCCAAGATAGCTTGTCAGTTCACCCAGGTCTGTGCACGTGTGTCTCTTCTGCAGCTCGGACTTCACGTGAGCGAGACCAACTGTGTCAGAAGTGGCAAAGACCAAGTCGTCGACGTACACGAGGATGTAGAACGGCGGTAGCGAGGGGTCGGTGCGTAGAAACAGCGACGGGTCAGCAGTAGAAGGAGCGAACCCAAGAGCCGCAAGTGTAGTCCTCAGTGTGTCGTGCCACTCACGTGGCGCCTGGCGGAGACCGTAGACTGGCCGCCGGAGGCTCCACTGGGTACCAGGAGGGAACGACCCAGTGAAGCCAGGTGGGCGGCGCAACCAGATCTCCTCGTGCAGGCTGCCCTGCAAGAAAGCTGTGCTGAAGTCAAGAGAGTGGAGCTCGTAGTCACGCTGAGCGGCGACGTGTAGCAGAACCCGAAGAGTGGTCATCTTCGGGGTCGGGGAGAAGGTCTGGAAGAAGTCAACTCCCTCTCGCTGACTGAAGCCTCGTGCAACGTAACGCGCCTTGAAGACATGCGGAGAGCCCGGTGGCCGCTTCACCCTGAAAATCCACATGCCACTGACGATGTTCGCCCCAGGTGGGGGAACCTCGTCGACGTAGGTGCCTGTGGACTTCCAGGAAGCCATCTCTGTGTCCATGGCTGACTGCCACTGAGAGGAGTAGGGACCGGCCATCGCCTCTGCGTAAGAGCGTGGGGTCGGGATGTCTGGTGCATCCGGGTCTCCCTCAGGGGCAACAAGCATGGACACGAGATGGGGCAAAGCAGCGGCAAGGCAACCAACCTCCTCCTGCCTGTCCTCAAGAACGTTCGTGCCAAGAGCACACTTACCCCCGACGGACGGAGGACAGACAGACTCAGACTCAGCAACAAGACTCGCAGCGTAGTCTAGACGACACGCAGCTGCAAAGTCGACAAGCTCAGTGACTAAGGCAGACGCAGCAGCGGACTCAAAAGAAGGGTCAGTGACAACCGTAGCGAGGAGACGTGTGACAGTAGGACTGGCAGCGCGAAGGGTGTCTGACTCCGGGTCAGCAAGCGCAGGAAGAGAGGACGCAGGAGGCGACGGGAGAGCGACACGCTGCGGAGCAGTGGACTGACGAAGCGCCATCTGGTGAGTGCCTGGGACAGCAGGAGGACGCTGACTCTGGACACGACTAGCAGTGGTAGCAGCACGAACAGGCGACGCTCGACGAGACGCAGGTGACACAGGACGTGAAGCAGGCTCACGTCTCTCAGCGAGACCTCCAGTCGGACCAGTGTAAGGAGTAGGCACAGGGAGTGGGGAGGCAGGCGGTAACTGTGGCTGTGACTGGACAGACGGAGGACACTCTAAGGCGAGAGGAGGACACTGACTAAGAACCTGCTGAAGGAGCGGAACGAAGTACGGCCGTGGCCGTGCAGCAACTCTCGAACCAGCAGAGACACCAGCGGCAGGGTCCTCAGCACGAGCAGAAGCTCCACCCTCCGGGTCCTCCACTCCAGCGGCAGCAGCAGCACCTCCAGCAGCACCAGCAGCACCTCCAGCAGCAGCAGCACCTCCAACACCAGGGTCCGCAGCACCCGCAGCAGCTCCAACGCCCGGGTCCTCAGTACGAGCAGCACCTCCAGCAGCACCGCCAGCAGCAGCAGCACCTCCAGCACCAGGGTCCGCAGCACCCGCAGCAGCGTCAACTCCGGGGACCCCAGCACCAGCAGCTCCACTCCGGAGACTGATGTGCCGAGCGTACCACTCTCGAAGCTGTGGGGAAGAGGGTGGCTCCCGCCGTGGTGGGGAAACACGGGTACCAACTCCAGTAGCACCACGAGCCCGAGACGCACCCCGCCGGAGGCTGCAGTACCGCGAGTACCACTCACGTAGCTGCTGCGAAGAGGGAGGTCCTCCAGGCGCCTCGCAGTCAACTGCAACACCACCAGGCTCAGCACCCCCAGACTCAGCAACGCCAGGCTCAGTACCCTCAGACCCAGCACCCCCAGTCTCAGTACCCCCAGACCCAGCACCCCCAGGCTCAGCACCCCCAGTCTCAGCACCCCCAGACTCAGCACCCCCAGGCTCCGCCCGCTCAGGCTCCGCACGCTCAGGCTCCGCACGCTCAGGCTCAGCACCTCTAGCAGGACGCGAGTCGACATCTACCTCGGCAGGCTCAACCGGGTCTACCTGAGAGACACCTGAGGGAGCGGCACCCTGAGGGGGGAGGGGGTCTACCACTGCAGCACCTGGCGCGAGGAAGAGAGGCGGGGGAGGGAGCGGGGCAGTGCGGTAGGGGAAGAGGCGGTAGAAGGGCACGGACTCGTCAAAAGTGACGTCCTGAGAGGGGAAGACGCGGTGCGAGGCGGGGTGGTAAAACTGCCAGCCAGACGCATCCGGGACAAAGCCAAGAAAGACACACGGAGCAGTGCGGGAGGAGAGCTTGTCCGCAGACGTGTCGCGAACAAAAGCTCGGGATCCCCAGACACGGAAGCGTGACGCATCGCCAACCTCCCCCGTCCACAGCAGTGTGGGCGAGGTCTCCGGAGCGGAGACACGGGGCCAGAGGTTGAGCTGATGCGCAGCGTACCGGACCGCAAACGGCCACAGAAAGTGGGGGGCAGCCGCGTGGACTAAGGAGGTACGAGCAACCTCCATGACCAAGCCAATGCGGCGCTCAGCAACCCCATTCTGCTGTGGAGAGGCCGGAAGCGTGAACGACTGGCGAATGCCGTGCTCAGCACAGTAGGCTGCCAAGAGGTCGGAGGAGAACTCGCCACCTCTGTCAGCGTGCAAGCGCAGGACAGGAAACTCCGAGCGAAAACGCTCTCGCAGCTGAAGACGTGCTCTGCTGATCCAAGGGATCAGGACATCAGGGACTTCACCCTTGGTGCGCAAGGGGAAGACCGTGGTGTAGCGCGAGTAGTCGTCAACGACGATCAAGAAGTACCTCTCCTGGCCCTGAACACGGACGCGGGCTGGGCCCCACACGTCCATGTGGAGCGTCTGCAAAGGAGCAGTCGTCGGGGGAAACGAGGAGGAGTGAGGGGCAGCGCGCTGCCGCCCCTCGACACAGGGAAGACAAGGAGGAGCAAGGGAGGGTGGGAGGGGAGGGAGTACTCGAGGAAGACCAGAGACAAGGTACCGGGCGTGCATGCCCCGAAGGCGCTGCACTGACGGGTGACCAAGTCGGTGGTGCCAGAGGACAGTCTTGTGCGCTAGAGAGCGACACGAGCAGGGGGCAGACAGCTGACCTGACGCAGACGCAGACGCCGCTACCTGAGGGGACTTAGTGGTCAGTGTGTAGAGGTCCGAGCCCGGCTGCCGAGTGAAGGTAGCCAGGTGACGGCCCGTCCGAGCACACGTGCAGTGTGTCACGCGCTCGTAGGCAGGGGTGAACTGGTGAACACCCCCATCCTGAAGCGCACAACCCGCCACCAAGTTCGTAGAGAACGAGGGGAGGTGGAGACCTGACAGTGTGCCCGACGGGACAGCAGGACAGGGAAGGACAGTGGAGGAGGTCGCAATGACCGGACCCCCAGAGGGGTCAGCGAGCGAGACAGCGACTGGTCGAGCAAGGGGCTCAAGAGCAGTGCGGTCACGAAAGAAACAGCGTGAAGCGCCTGAGTCTAGAGTGAAGGTGTGCAGTGCCTCAGTGGACTCAGTAGTACCTGGGGTGGCGGACACACAAGCACCTAGAGCAGTAGCCTCACCAGCACCTGGGGCAGCAGACACGCAAGCACCTAGGGCGGCATCCTCACTCGTGCGGATGCCTGGGTCAGGCGGAACACTCAGGTACTGGTCCTCCTCTCCACTAATAGTCAATGCATACATTGCTTTGAGAATAACATCAAAATCAAGAGCATAGATATCGATATCCTTCTTGAGGAGATCAGCCCACTGAGGGAGCTCAGGAGCGTCAGGAAACTGAGCACGCCAAGCGTCATCTAGGCGAGAGAAGCAGCGCTGCGCAGTGTGCGCCCTCCCGCACGTCTGTCCCTTGCGGCGACCAGTGCGGATGACGTACGTGCAGCTAAGGCTACCCCCCCCACCCTCGTGCTGGAAGTACCACTCACGAAGCTCCTGGGAGGACTGAGGGTGCTGCGCACTCTGGCCAGTGCCAGAGCCTCCACGACCACCACCGCCGCCTCCACCACGACCACCACCGCCCCTGCCGCCGCCACGTCCACTGCCGCCACCACCACCGCCCCCACCCCGGCCACCGCCGCCTCCGCTGCCTCCACCACCCCCACCGCTGCCACTAGCCCCTCCAGCCCCGCCACCGCCTCCACCGCTGCCACCACCCCCACCACCGCCTCCCCCACCGTCACCCCCACCGCCCTTGCCTCCCCTGCCCTTGCCGCTGCGGCGCCCGCTGGGAGCGGACGCAGAGCCGACCTGCTCAGCACCAAGAAGGTCGACAGCAGCAGCAGAGGCGACAGAGGGGAGCAGGGGGGAGGGGGAACACCCCTCGAAGAAAGGGGTGCGGGGGTCGCCACGAGAGGCACCTACAGCTACAATACTCTTCTCAGCTGCAAGTAGTTCCTTCTCTAGGGCGGCAATGGTGAGCTCAGTGGGGCAGCGAGCTAGGAAGTGGTCCCTGACTGTACGCAGAGTGTCAGGGAGGCGGGTGACTAGGTGGTAGAGAGTGAGCCAGAGCGGGGGAGGGTTGGAGGCAAGAAACTCAGCGGGCATGGCTGCACGGAAGCGGGCATCACTAGTGCGGAGGTGAGTGATGAGGTCAGCGACTGTCTGGAAGGCGGACAGGTCGGGGAATAGGTAGGGAAGCGAGAGGCGGCCTAGTGCAGCTGAGGCCGGGGAGGAGTAGCGCGCAACTACAGCAGTGTACAGGGCCTGCGCAGTCTGATGCTGGCCAAAGTGCTCGCGCTCATCGACTGGCAGGGAGTTGCGAATAGCAAAGCGGGCGTGGGCATCGCGAGTCTGCCACTGCGAGCGAGCAGTAGCGGCAGCAGTAGTAGCAGGAGCAGGGACTGTGCCTAGTGCGTGATCGTACAGCGAGATATCCTCTCTTGCAGTGAGCTGGAGGAACAGGTGCAGATCATCGAGCCAGGTCTCAAACTTAATCGGGCGGCCCTCAGCATCGAACGAGAGAACTGTAGGGCTAGCCATAGCTGAAGCAGTAGCAGTGGCAGCAGTAGTAGTAGCAGGGGTAGCAGTAGCAGTAGTGGTAGCAGCAGTAGGGCGGCGCGGCTCGGCTAGGGCGGCGCGGCTCGGCTAGGGCGGCGCGGCTCGGTCGGGTCGCGCGGCTCGGTCGGGTCGCGCGGTTCGACTCGGTCCTGGAGGGGCGAGCGCGGGGCCGGGTGGGGCTGCTAAGGGAGAGCGCGGGGCCGTCCAGGGCGAGGGCGAGGCCGTTCTGGGGCCGTTCGGGGCTAGCGCGGGGCCGTTCGGGGGGCCGTGAGAGGCTAGCGCGGGGCCGACGGGGGCCTTAGGGGGCTAGCGCGGGGCCGACGGGGCCATTCAGGGCTAGCGCGGGGCCGTTCGGGGGCCGTGAGAGGCTAGCGCGGGGCCGACGGGGCCATTCGGGGCTAGCGCGGGGCCGTTCGGGGGCCGTGAGAGGCTAGCACGGGGCCGACGGGGGCCTTAGGAGGCTAGCGCGGGGCTTGAGGGGGCCGTGAGAGGCTAGCGTGGGGCCGATCGGGGGCCGTAAGAGGCTAGCGCGGGGCCACACGGGGCCGTGAGAGGCTAGCGCGGGGCCGTAAGGGGCCTTAAGAGGGCGACGCGAGGGGCCGTGAGGGGCCTTAAGGGGCGACGCGAGAGGGCCTTAGGGGGCCTTAAGAACGAGGCAATCGAGGCGCAGGAAAAGGCGGCGCACGAGGGCGCGGCTAGCAGAAACGGTGGGCCCTATCGTTTCGGTCCTAGGTGAAACCTAGGCTCGTAATACCATGTCAGAATGAGAAACGAGAATGAATGACTAGAATGAGGGTTGGGTACAAATAGGTCAAACCTAACCCTAGAAATGTGTACCCACTATAGGCTAACCCACTGTAGCCTAAACAAGCACAACATACAATGTTTGACACGGCGGGGCCGCGACAGGTCGGTGGCGGGGCCGCGACAGAAGGTGGCGCGGCCGCGACCGGAGGCGGCGGGGCCGCGACAGGTCGGTGGCGGGGCCGCGAAGGAAAGCGGCGGGGCCGCGAGAGTGGGGCGGCGGGGCTGCGACAGGTCGGTGGCGGGGCCGCAAAGGAAAGCGGCGGGGCCGCGAGAGTGGGGCGGCGGGGCCGCGACGGGTCCCCGTCGCCCGTCGCGACGCCTCCAGAGGGGTACGCGACGAACGACGGGGCAGAAGCCCGCCACGCGCCTCGGGGCGCACAGCGGGCAGAGAACCGCCGCGCGCCTCGGGGCGCACGGCGGGCAGAAAACCGCCGCGCGCCTCGGGGCGCACGGCGGGAAGAAAAAAATGCCGCACGCCACGGGGCGTGCGGCTCAGAGGGTAGTTGAAGTGGTAGCAGCGGAAGCTAGGAGGTGGTAAGCCCACCCACAGGGTCGATCCAAGAGGATCGACCTGCTCTGATAGCATGACAAAATTAGAAGAAAGAAAGAGGGCTTGACTAGCAAGAATGGGGATACAAATAGCAAACCCTAACAGGGTTGTACTCGCTATAGAGCACCCCACTACAGGCTAGATAAGAACATTCTGACACTGCAGCGGTGCCTCGAATGCTCCTCGCACTGACGCGGCTACTTGCTCTCAACCATCGGATTCTTGAAGTTAACCTTCGACGTATAATCCGTCGAGGCTTTCCAGAGAGCAGGTATGACATTTTCCAGAACGACCGTCTCGAGCGTGTCTCCCGCAGTGAGGCGAACGCTTATTGGCTTCTTCACACCCACGACCGCCTTCGCCTCGCTGCCCTTGATTCCCCACACGCCGGCGTTGCTGCCGTCCCGCGTCAGATTCACCCACGTGTTGCCGTCCGCGCTTAGCTCCACCTGGTTAAGCGTGCCCGAAGCCGCAACATCGCAAAAAAGGGAAGTTCGAAAAGCCACTAAGAATACACTCAGCCGCAACTTCCTCGATAATTTTTGCACGGCACTTTCAAGTCAAGGTTTTAGAACTGCATAGCGTCAGTAACTGACAAACCAACTACGCAGTCACTATTCCGTTGCATTCTGTACACATGCGTGTATCAAATCGGATACTACACCTGCTACGTTGTCGTTGCAAAACCGTTACGATCTGCACCACATGAAAGCTTACCAAACCTAACCTTTCCAACCGACTAGAAATTTGCAACTACGCAACCCCAACTGCCATCCGTACTCGACAACACACGTGGCATCCAGTATCAACCCGATTGTCCACTTAAGCGTTCACCCATCAAAACGTACCCTCACCCCATCCGTTAGATATACCGTTTGTTCACGCAATCTAGACGGTTCACGTGTCGCCCTGTCAGCTACTCGCACATCATGTTACTCCTTCGGGAGCACCACCTCGCGACTACTTGCTGACACATCGCACTCGCATCTTCTCCGTCCATCTCCTCATCGATCAGCCCGTAAATACATGACGCTTGGAACCAGCCCACCGGTGCTCACGTCGCAACTCTCGTGTACGAGACCCACTAGCATTTTAACACTTGGCATCCATCGGAGGGCGCATCATGCCTATCCACCCTATCCAACATTGCACCCTCGCCGTACAAATGTCGCACCGCCACATTCTCGTTTCCTTCGCCATATTTTTCGGCACCCAATCGTTTTGCTCACGATACACGTTTGCGACACCATTCACACCGTCCATCTGCACACATAGTCTGCAAATCCCAGCTGCCACGTTGTTCTCACAGCCGCGATCTACCCCGTTTACTTGCCTTCGGATCGTCCACTTGCACATCTAGTAACCATCCATTTATCTCCTCGCCATAAGCCTTCGCTCAATGTGCGCGAAAAAATATTGACCGTACACCTGTCGCACCCTCGTCAAATATCAACACGATCTCCCAACCAGTACGCCATCACTCCTACACGTAAATTCGATTTTTCTAACGTACATCAGAGTGACATGCGTAGTTTTGTCCGTGCGTGTCAAATTGGGCATAGGTTCCAGTTCAATGCTTATCCATGATGATATCCAATCGGAACGCCTCACGCCCGCAATGTTGTTCACGAAGTAGTCCAACCCAGTCGCGACATATGGAACCCTCCGCGACTCGCGCCGCCAAATGCGGCGCACTATTAGTCCGCCCGCACACCCGGTTCCGTCCTACATGTCGCATTGTACATCATCCTGTACTTGCCTGTGTTATCTCGAACATCAATTACCCCAAACGACTTCTCCCATTCATAACACGGTCGCACATAATGAGTACCACAACTCCTAACTACACCCGTCCTCTTCAACTCTCAATCACACACATGCAACCCCCTTACCCCACATATCCAAACTTCCAACACCGCACAAATAGCCGTACAAGATTCCATCTACGCATCTCTTCAGCTGTCCCTTCAACCGTTCACCACCAACATCCTCTATTGACGGTCTACTAATCACCAAGTGACGCCGAAAGGTCGTCATCCCCTACGATGCCTAGCAGCTCGGTGGCGGCCGCAGACTTCATGTGCTCCAGGCCGCACGCAGAGATGCGCAGGCCATGGTGCCCCCAAATCCACGCCTCGCGCTCCGCGTCATACTCGGGGTTGTAGATACGGATCGCCCTCTCCACGGCCTCCTTGACCAGGACCTTGAGCCCATCCACGACGTGGGCGTTCCCGCCCGCCGAGTTGGAGAGCCGGCCTTTCCGCGCCTCCCAGTAGAGGACACAGTCGGAGACCTGCGCCCAACACAAAAAGCGTCAGTCCATGCATTTCCAGTAGGATGCACACCCCTTCAACCCTCGTGCGCACACACTCACCACATGCTCCAACCAGGCTTGGTGGTACACCTTAAGGATCATCACCAGCCCTGCCTTCTTCGGCTTGAAGGCAGCCTTCGCACATGTCGCGGACGCCCGGGAGGCAAACGGCATGCCATCCCTGTCGTGCGCCCAACTGGTCAGCACTAGAGTTTCTGCACACCACATCCGAAGCGTGGGTATCAATGTCCACAATTCTCGCATTGGTGCATGACTACAAACGGTCGACGACTCCAACGGTCGTCTCATGCACTCACCAGGGGGGTCAGCGCCAATCCCAATGCGCTCTCTTATCTTCTCGATACTACGCTCCTTTTCAGGTGCCCACAGGCTGGATGCGTCCCTGTCGTCCCGGAACAGCACCGCGCACACTCCGTGAGTCTTATCGTCACTGCTCGGGTAGAAGGTCATCGACGACGTGGGCCTGTTGAGAAACAAGTGAACTCTGGCCAGCTCGCACACCCGCTGCGCACCCATAGTATACACCATCACCAACATCAGCATTCACCATGTACCATCAACGTGTACAGACTGCAACCCATTCCGGACGGGAAGTTACTGAACTAAGATGGAAACAGGCCCGCTCACCTTCCATGCCTTGTCTGTCGGCAGATGCGCCAACGCGCGTTGCAGAATAGGAGACTTTGCAGTACGCATATGACGACCAACAGAACCATGTGTATCTTCCTCGTCGTCCTCTCCGTCATCGTCCGACCCGCCGCTCCATGTTTCGCCACGCTTACGCTTCGAGTTCATGCACCCTTGCTCCGGGTCTCTCTGATTCCGAGCCTTACGCTTACGAGATCCACCAGAACGCTGCGCCATTGCATTCAAAAACAGCGCCTCCAACCGCGCGTTCTCCTTGGCGCTTCTGTCTTGAGCCCAGATGAGTTGCTCGAGAACCCTGCTCGAGATGCGCACGTCATGGCCGTCGGTGTCCACTGGGGTCCCGCATGCGCGGTCCACATGCCCATCCACATGTCCTCGGCCTTCGCCCCGATACACACCCGTCTCCCCCGCGCCCCGACTTTCGCGCCCGTCTGCTTTGGGTGAAGTGGTTCCCGCACACCCATCGTCGGCCGTCTTCCCTCTAGTGGCAGGTTCGCCGGATTCTTCGGGTGAGGCTGAGGCCGATGTGTCTGAGTCTGCCTCGCCATCCTCTTCATTGCGCTCGAACGATCAAGCACTCTCTGCACGAGTGCCGTCATCTGCGATGACACAGAGGCTCCAGACAAGCACGGTACCACATGTCAGCTATACTTGTTGGGCACTGGGGTTCATACGTATATACAATGTGAACACCCGCATTAGTGCAACGAGTCACCCATCCACGCTCTTTCTGCATACTTTGCTCATGCTGTACCACCCCGTCTCCCTTCTTGGTCACGCTCAAACGCTTAGGCAGTGTCGGCCCGCGTTTCCCGTTAGACAGCTGACCGCGCGGCATTGTCAGCTGATACGACGCTCGCAGGTACGCCGGCGGGTTAGATACACGACGGCGCGCCCTCCCGTCAGAGTATCCTCTGAAGCAAGCGAAGTATCCATTGTAGCAACAATAGTATCCAGTGATATGCTCACAGAATGACGCTCGGTTCTATACTTCTACATATACATTCCGCTAAACTTCTTACCACACCGGAGCCCATCATGGGCAGTGAGTTTGGTAGGCAATACAACTTCGTGTCTATTTGGATGACCGCAATCCGAAACGGCTAATACATGCACACCACGTCATCCGCCGCCATGTACATGTGTGCACACATAAACCACACACCGCGCACATCCTGGCGACACAACCGTATCGTTGGAACTCGTTTGTGCGTACATCTTCTATCACGGAAGTATTCACTATGCACGTTGTTGACGTACATCCTTTCATCATACATCTCACCAATTGCACATTACACTAGCACACAATGTACCGAACAATTGAGCTCCATTGTGTAAGCAAGAGCCTTCGCACCCATCAATTAAGAATACAAGCAGAAAATCTAACGCCCTGCACACAGTATCACAGAATTTCTCGCAAAACATACCGTACAATTGCATTCATGTGTACGTCTATGCATCTACAACAACTACGCAGGATGGTCTGCCAACATCTCATGTGCAACAAACTCTTCCACACCCTCCTCGCATTCGTTGTGCCGAGCACACCCGCTGCTGCCGTTGTGCATAGGGGCCGTTCCCCCACACTCAGCATTGTCAGGGTCGTCTGGTTCGTTGGCCGCCTTTTTGTTTCTATCCACCACCCTCTACCTCTTGATGTGCGCGTGGCAACCACTCGCTTCCTCCCTCGTTTCACCTTCCAGTTCACGCCCTCCCGCGCCTCCCTCCAGCTCCGCCACCTCCACCACTTCCGCGCTTCCACCAGGAGCTGCAGATCTTCCTTGGTGCATCCACGTAGCATCGCCTTCTCTGCGGCTGACAGACTGACCGTGTTGGGTATCTTGTCTTGTGGCCTCAGGACGAACGCACCTGCGGCGTACGCATACGCCGCCTCCTCCTCCGATGTGTATGCACCCAGCCGCTGTTGCCTACGCTTTCCTCCTTCTTTGATCAGGATCTTCACGCCAAACTTGCTTGATGCTTTCTCCAACTTGACTCCTGTGTACTTCGTTGCACACGTGTCGTCACCATCCTCTTCATCCTCCGTGTCTGACACAAGATCCTCCTCTTCTTCTGCCTTCACCGTCTCGTGGCCGCTCGTATCTCCCCACGCATCAGCTCCAGCCGGCACCGTCACCCCGAGCAGCGGTCTCCCGCGGGTGAACATCCAGTGAGGTATGGTCCCTCCCGACAGCAGCGGGTTTTGCAGCAAGCGCGCTGTCGGATCACATGCAGCGAACGAGGAGGCCAGCGCAACACGGGTGGCATTGTGTACAACATCCTCCTCTGGACTACTGTCAACACGCCTCTTGCGACCGGATGGACGCTGTGGAGTGTGTGGGGCATTCTTGGTGCCACATGCCTCTGCTTTCGCGCCGGATCTCCCGGGGTTGCCTTGCATCAGTAGTTGGGTTGCAGCGGACACCACCTCCTCGCGCCTCAATCCCACAAAATTGGCTATGACGGTGAAGCTCGCGTCCAGGAACATCACATCGTTCTTCATAGTCGCCATTTCCCTCATCATCGCCGTTACCCGTGCGTCATCCCCGGCTTGACTGACCGGTGCTTGCCTCACATCTTCCATACCAGCGTTCCTCTTCCGCACCACTGCCCCCCCCCCCCTCTGTTACCCGGCCTGCGTCCTGTGGGGGAATTTCGATCCCCAGCGCTTCCAACTACTGAATGAGATCTCCGGTCGCGTGGGCGCACAAGTCGCGCCGCATCTCCCGCCGGTATTGGTGCGGCGTCACACCCTGAAACCAGAGCCCGCTCAATAACGTGGTGAAGTCGGACATCATCAGGGTCTTCAGGTACTGACAAACAAAAATCCCACAGTCCTGCTTGTTCGGCTGCTGTGGCAGCTTATCCTCCTGCACTTCGACAAACGCACACTACAGTTAGCAATCCGTCTACCCTCGTAAACATAGTGCACATAGGTATGCGCATTCACTGGTACCCTCACCCGTAATATTATGCACTCCGCAGCCAACAGCTGCTTGTCCAGAAGCTCCATGTTCGCGCCGGGGTTGCTCGCCTTGGCGAGTTCAGACAGCACTCTGCACGTTACAGGCCGAAATCGTTAAAACAAGTCATGGGTTGCTGCCAGCGACATGCAACGTCGATAGTGAACCCCGTACTCACAGCTTGGTGCCTGCAAAAATCATGCGGGTGTTCCTTGTCTTTATGCTACTGTCCAGCAAGAACAACTTCATTCGCTCTTTGCCTTCGGATTTCGCGGACTTGGTAAGCACCGATGGAGATACAGCGATGACGAGCGAGTAGTGCTCCCTACGCTCAACATAAGAGGGTATGTTGGGATTAGGGTTAGTCAACCATCGGTGTCATGCTAAAGAATCCTCTCACGAACTGGATACTTGTGATACGTACCCCTCTAGCACAAGGATCGCGAGATAGTCGTGCTGCAGTAGCGGAAGCCCGTTCCCTAGCGTCAAAGGCGCACCACACGAGTTCGTCTGGAAGTACGCCTTGCAGTCTAAGGCAGCCCATGTTTTCCCGTCACGGAGAGTCGGCTTCCGGATGCTAAGCAACGTGCACAGTTAATGAACAAGAAATAACAAAGCGTATTAGATGTTGCCCATACATCAGATACTACGCAACAAAGCGTCAACCAGGTGACCTCAGTGAAGATACTTACACGTTGTGAAAGTCTAGCACGCCATCAGTGATCCACTGATCATCCTCGATCGACATGAGGTCGTCCTTATCCACTTCGCACCCAACGCCGCGATGATTTATAAGCGTCATGTTTCTGTACGAAGACTTCATGTAATTCCGTGCGACAAGGGACACCAAATCTTCCTGCACCTGCTCCCGCACCGTATCCTCCTTATTAGTAGCAAACTTCATGGTCCTTCCGGAGTCCTTAGTTGGCGGGATCGGCCCTGGATTCTTCATGTTAGACTCGGCATTTTTCGACGACCTGGTTCTGCACGTCGGCAGGGCATGATCTTGGTCGTCGGAGCTGCTGCTAGTTTCGGGTTCATAAAACCTGTTGCACTTAGATGTCAACTGCTTAGGTTTCGCCATCTCTATCTATCAACGACTAGAATACAAACTACACCGGCTTATGAAGATGAGAGCAGGTAGGGTTGGCAGCTGGAACACAATTACGGGGAGCGCAAGCGTTGAGGATACAATGGAAAATGAAGGAGATAGAAAGGCGTAACCCTCTAGGATCATGCACATCTGGTGTGACCGTCGTGTAGAGCTCCATAGATCTACACCGTTGGCGCAAGCGTGCATGCGATGGCTAGGTGTGATGTGACCACTCGAGAGGATGTGATGGTTCAGCGCCATGCAGATCCACGTGTGCTAATCCTAGGGTTTCGGATGATGTACTCGGAGGTTGAAGCCGGGTTACCAAGAAGATGCACGCAAGCAAATGCACGGTTGTGTACCTGTAGCTCGAATTTTTTTATGAGAAGGCCGAATGACGCGAAGTATGGTAACGACGTACGCTGTATGGTGAACATGCGTGTATGTGTCTCTTCGCGCGCCGAGTCTGGGTTATTGCAATAGAGGCGTACATGGTTATTAAACTTGTACAACAAGAACACGCGATTGTAATTTGTTTTGTTACGTCAGTTGAAGGTGGACTGAGTATGGAAAAAAAATTGTGACTCGACATGACAAAGAATCAAATATATGCAATGGTGTTGGTGGTAACGGAACCAGTTGATGTTTTTTTTTTAAATCTTGATAAACAAGTTACAATCATTGGTGGGGCGGTAGGACAAATGTATATGCCGATTCACGTAAAACACATCCACACATAATATAATTGTACCTTTCACTGCAACGAGTACGGCTATGTTCTGTGCGCACACCACAAAGCTTCCTCAACATGCGTGTGCTCGAACCAGACCAACTCTGTTGTACAAGAGTGCACCAGATGTGCTGGGCAGGGTTTTCACAGCAGCAATTCCTAGGGTTTCACGGCTGTAGGATGGCAGGGAACAGTTGCCTGGTGTGCAAGACGGCGTTTAAGGACGACAGCAGGTTACAGTCCCATGTAGTGAATAGGTCAGTTTGTCGCGAGGAGTTGAAGAGGAAACGTGAACAACTTTTGTGGGCGGCATATTTGGAAGCTATTGTGTGCGAAGGAGAGGGTAGACCAAATACCCCACCGGCATCCAGGCTTAAAAACAACGATGGCAGCTTTCTCTCCGTACCTCCAACGGTGCCGATTGTCAGTAGAGCTACACTGTGAGATCCCCGATCGATCCTAGGGGGGGTTACAGGCGCGTTTGCCTGGGGGGTTATGGGCGCACTGACCCGCTACTGAAACAAGCCCTTTTATCCCAATGGTCTAGTGGTTGGGATTCTGACATGGTATCAGAGCGGTCTCGGGTTCGAATCCCGGTGTATGCACATGTTGGCCGTTGCCACTGTGCTCAGTCCTGTGCCTCCCAGTATGGGGGGGTGTCAGTAGAGCTACACTGTGAGATCCCCGATCGATCCTAGGGGGGGTTACAGGCGCGTTTGCCTGGGGGGTTATGGGCGCACTGACCCGCTACTGAAACAAGCCCTTTTATCCCAATGGTCTAGTGGTTGGGATTCTGACACCGATACCCGAAGTTAGTGTGGTTGGCGACGTGGATACACCATCCGACGGCGCTAACGCCGAGTCTACAGAAGGCAGCGATAGGACGGAGATTTTTGATACACTTACAGAGTTGTACCTCTTTTTCCGTGACGCCGATCTGTCGCACCGGGAAGTTAACCGTCTGCTACACATTTTCCGCAACCCTCGCTTCAACCTAAGGGCTCTCAGACGATGGCGCAACTGGGTGGATGTGCGCCCCAGCATGGCGCGAGCTCCAACCGACAAGGTTCCGTGGAAAACGGAGGAGATAGTGGTGAGGGGTCCCAACGGACTGCAAATGAAGCTGCTACTGCACTTCCGTGACACCGAGTTGGTACGTGATGGGAGGCCAACCTAGAGGCGATGTCGGGGTGACGTGTAGATGAAGCTGGCCCGCATCATGTTCTCACCCACGTTTTTTGCGCTACGCACACAGATCTTGAAGAAGCCGGTGCGGACGTTCTCATCCAAAAAGGGGTTCGTATGGAAGCCGAGGAAGATATATCAGAAGAAGAACAACGAGAGGGTATTTGAAGGACCGGAGACATGTGATTGGATGCACTCTGCTCAGGTACGCACATGTTTGTTGTTCAGTTGTCATATGTCGTGCATACTGGTACCTGCACGAGGTGTCACAACGCTCACCAGCCCGTGCGCTCTACATGGCAGAAGGAGATTAACGACGACCAGGCACTCGTACTAGGCGTGCTGATATACAGCGATAGCACGCAAGCATCACGGAATGGACGAAGGAACGCGTGGCGTGTGCTGATATCATTTGTCAACATACTCGAAGAATTGCGAGGAGTGGAGCCCGGGCACACATTGGCGGCGGTGCTTCCATTCCCGCCTGAATGGGCGTCGCCCACGGAGAAGACGCGCGTGTTCCAGGAGGCGCTGAAGATAATACTCGCGCCCATCATGCGAGAGTCCGCCAGGTACTGGGAGGGGATGGGGGTGGGGATGATAACGATACACGGGTGGGGAAGGGGGGCCACCCTAGTTAGTAGCCACCCTATTGGGAGATATGCATACGATCCATCACTAAGTGAACACAATGTGTGCATGGCGGCCCTATGCAGCGCACCAGTACGCTTCTTCTACTGCACAGACGCGGACGGGAAGGTGCACAAGGCGGTCCCTTGCCTGTACGGATACCCTGCCGACTTCTCGGAATCCAGCAGAGCCTCCGCAACTCTGCAGCAAGGATCGCATCAGCCATTCGCTAACTGCTATGCTGTGAAGGGGGAGTTGACCATGATGGTGGGGAAGTGTGATCCACGGACCCCCAATCAGCAGAGGGACATTGTTCGTCAAATCTTGGCGTGCAAGAAGAAGGGCGAGGTAGACGATGTGCGAAAGTTATGGTCAACCCATCCGATCGAGGTGTGTTTGCTGGTGCGCGGTTTGGTGGTGCGTAATGAAGGGGGGCTGGATATCATGTGGACTGTTTGACAACACTGTGTCGTCTGTGGGATGGTTGCAGTGCGTGCTTCAAAGGTGGAATTTCGCAGACACAGAGTGAGGAAACGTGTACTTGGCATGCCTAGCAGACACACTGCACGTGCTGGACTCCGGTGTGCAGATCCACATGATGGACTCCTACATCGAACCCCTTGGAAAGGTTGAGATGCGGCTGCTAGAAAGGTGAGTTAGGTGTCGTCGGGTGTGAGAGCGGTAGCCAACTACATTCTGCAGGGATGTAGGAGGGGTCTAGGCCACCATGTGTGTCATCGGATGACGACATTGTACTATGAATGTGCGCAGCCGCAAGAAGGAGTTCAAGCGTTTCACTCCAAGCGTTCTCCTCCGTATCCCTGGGGGATCATCTTTCTTCAGTTCTGGCGCAAACTACACGGCGTTCGAGCACAGGAGCATGATGCAGATAATGCCGATACTCGTGGCAGACGAGAGTG